ATAATACGTACCTTTAATATATCAAAAGTTATTAAAAAAATTAAAGTTTTATACATTAATCAGTTGAACAGTTCTTCTTAGTTCATTGTCATCATTCACATCCTAATTTAACTTTCAGTTTTATAAAACTTATTTAGTTTTTATAACTCATAAAGAACGCTCGAAGTATTTCATCTGTCAGAATGAAACTATGTGATAAAAGTTTGTTTTATTATAACGTGTCTAGAGGGAACGCTATTTTACACATCAGATATTCGAGACTACTTTTAGACTCTCTTTTAAAAGCGATTTATCATTTGCTTGGTAGAAGAAAACAGCTATTTTTAACTGAGTGTCGTTAATTATTGACGTACGTTTCTATTTAGTTACATTTTAAATAATTATATTACATAGTATTTATTGTATATACTAGCATTATACTTTAAATACATAATTAGATTAGTTACTCGAAACATGATGTTTTTATTAAATCTAATTGTATGTTATATAAAAATTTTAATAATATTATACTCTAAGCCATATAGCTATGTATAAGCAAGGATATACGTGAACATAAAGTAATCCTCTTTCCTGTCAAGTTTATTCCTAAGTTAAGCTAACTTCAGTTCCTAGTACCTAATATTAATATTTCTATAATTAAATTAAAACTATTCTTGGTTTTTAATCACTCGGCTTCAGGAAAAGTTTTATCTACCTAGATAGAAATACCTAAAGACATTTTTATCATTAAAAGAGTAAATACATATTGTGTAAATAAGTGACGTCGCAATCAAATGTTCCTACTCAAAATTGTATAGTATGTTTTTTCCAGAGTTTCGCCTAATTGGGGCATAAAATGCTTTCAACGGCTCTCTTTAACAATGCGTTTATACGCAGACGAATTAAGGGCTAAATACTAACAGTGAATATGTTTACGTTTTGTTATGGTTAATAGGAGAGGGGAGGTATAGAAATAAAGCTTCTCGACGGCTAGGGAGGCACGACCGAAAATAGAATTTGGATGTTTAAAAATGCTGTTTGTTTTAAGCTATGTATGTTTGTAATGAAATGTGATTATTGTAATAGTAATTTATTTTAAGGAGCTGCTAATTTACTCTTATTATATTTAGTTTTTTACTTAAAATATTTCTATTTTTATTCTACTTTGATTTTTCAATATATACTGATCTGTATATATGTATCACAATAATTCTTATATACTAAGTAGAATATTTCAAAGGGATTGTTCATGAATATTGATGGTATTTTTTAGTCTATAAGAATTTGCTCTTTTAAAGATTTACGAAATATGAAAGACGTAATCTTGACGTGCTGTCATCTATAAAGATTTCACTTCGTGTGAAATTAATAAAATAAATTATTGTTTATAATAGTGGTTATTAACTGTAATTAAAAATATAGGTTTCAATTTTGTACTTACTTTAATTACTATTGCTGGCTTAAGTATCTTATTTATAATAAATTAGAGAACAAATCAAAGTTCTGTTGTGGTTCATTATTATCAATAATTAAAATACGACTCTGTTGAGTTTTATTTCGTAACTTAAATTAAAATTTTGTGTGAAGATATTCTTTATATAATCTTAGAATATCTGCTAATTCAATTCTCTTTCATCTTTGTTCACTGACTAACGCTCGAAGCCAGGGTCTAGACTCTAGACTATAAAAGAATATAAATTAATCGAATTCTATAGCAGAGAGACTATTATGTATTGAAAATTCACATCATGACTGTGGTTAGAAACATGTGTGGGCTGTTTACTGGGTTTTATCATTCCAGTCGATGCTCCTATATTGAAACAGTACAAATACATTTCTTAGAATAATCTGATTTTCTTCTTTCTTATTAAAAATATTTTTCAACATATGTTACGTCTAAATATAGCAAAGCCGAATAATACTTATTTATTTTCTTTAAGACATAATCTCTTTACTGTATTGCTAAAACTGGTCAGAATTTTGCGTTATACAATATTATTTTATTATCTTGTTAAATTGGTTTGCTTTAACTAAACTGTGCTCGCAATATGATTTAGTTCCTTGTAACCTAATGTTCTAGTGATATTTATTAAAGATTAAGTAACGAGTAGTATTTATAAGTCTGCATTACTTTTAAGTTTACAACACAATTGCTTCAGATAAATATTCGAATTCTATGATTTTAGAAAAGATACATTGCTTCATATTATTGTACAAGATCTTATTTGTACCGATTAAATAATTTTTAATTCGGAATATTGTTTGTAATAAAAAGTATTGTTTCAAAATTTTTAACAGTTGACAATATATTGAAATTAGATTGTGAAGAAGCTATCACGTAGAGATCGCAGTTTTTATAAAAAGATATATATAACTGTTTTCTTGTATTTTCCTGTATAGTTTAAATAGGTAAACCTGAAACTCTACAAGCTTACAACAATATAAAACAATTTAGCGAGAATCACAGGCTCTGCGCTTGTTTACCGTCACTATTTATAAATAAAACTTTGAACTTTCGAACGAACAGTAAGTCCTGGTCAGGTTGTAAATTCCCAAACTTTTATACCTTCCCCAGATGTCTAAAGTTACTTTGTCTAGATTAGATAAATACTAATAACTGGTAAAACTTCATGATTGGAATAAAATAGATAAAGTAAATTATGTTTCAAACAAAGTTTTTGCAACAAATGTTTTCTTAGTTGCAACATAATCTAATTAGTTGATTGGTTTGCGTGAAAGTATTTCTTCGTTGCGTCCGTGATTTATCTACCTAATTGTCAATATATTTTGAACACATTGTTAGATAAATTTAGGATTTACGATGTTTTTTAACCAATGATTTGTGATTGAAAAATACCTATATAAAGTAGAAACAACAATTTATAAATAAAAGAAAAGTAAAGCAGAAAAACATATTGATTCTCACAAATGTCATAAAAATCAAAGCTTATATGAAAGTTGCATAGTTTTAATTCAATTTTCGGATGATTATGGGTTAGATGTTCAATGGAAATTTCAATCGTCAATGAATATTGCTGATGTGAAGTTTATAACTATCTGGGTCAAATTCCGCGCAGATATTCACCATTCATACATCTGTATTGAGATCGACTCGTATCTGGAACGATACTTATGCACGATTGTTTTTAAGAATATCACAAACACTCTACGGAATTGCTTTTCTTAGCACGAATTTTTCTACAGGTTACTCTGCCAATATACACTCTAATACACTGATTGTTAGTCAACCGTAATTAGTACCGAAAATATATGTATTTATATTAGAATTTAGCACAAACAGAAACGAGGCCGCGTGTGAAAACTAGTTTCATATATTAAGCAGGAGTATGGTTGTAACAAAAGAAGAAAACAAATACGAATTCCATTTGTCCCGAACGACCCGTTAGGGTAGACCTTCCTTTATAAAACCCTCAAATAACCGTATGTCACAGAAATAAAACCGAGTATCCATCTCGAAGAGAATTCATCATGTCACGTTGAGAACGTGCGACGCATTTTATTTAGAACATTTTTGAAAAATATATTTTCAGAATTATATTATTTATTCCATTAAAAAATGTATATTAAATAGTTATTCCACATTAAATGTCAAAAGAAAAAGTTTTTAACATTCTAGGCGTTATAAAACAATTTAGACTAGACTAGATTAAATATTAGATGTTTTATTTAAAATGGTATAATTAGTCTTATCTTGATAATTAACTTTATACAACCAGTACACTTGTAAATTTAGGATACACTTTATTTGATTGTCACCAATCTGAACCACTATATCCGAGATGATTCTATTAGTTAGTGGATACATAGATACCATCCAATAACTATGTTAATAGACAAAATTTATTCAGTTTACTATACTTCATTATGGACATGATCCATTACGACAAACATAAAATTAATTATTGCTTCAGTTCTAAGAATATATATCGTATTCGGGGATTACTTCTATTACAGCTGTTTTATAAATAACCATTCTTGCCAAAGTTTTATGTAACTTTACAATATTGTAAATTCAATTTTAGTAAGTTAAATAAAACTTACTTTAATATACACTAGCGCTTTATATCGAAAAACCTATAAAGAATTCCGAGAAGCGAAAAGTGTAAAATATATATTTTGTGTATTTTAATCCGTTCTTTGGGAATTCCAAACACATTGATTGGCCTAATTAAGCGCAATAATTATCTTGATTGATTCAACAAATCCTTTCTGCTTGAACTTTAGACTCTTGACGATAAAATAATTTTTGAATTGCTTAAGTAGTTGATATTCAAATACAATTTTCTTTAGTTGTTAACAAAGAACGGACAATAAAGTTGTCTAATGTATTCTGTATTTATTTACGTATGCGTGTTTTGTATGCGTGGTGTCTATTATGCAGACGCGGTGCCCGCCGGAGGCTTATTCGCTGAGTGCTAAGGCTCATGATAATGTCACGCTTTAAGCCATGCTTTCATTTTCGCACTATTCTCTCTCTTCATCATTCATACCTTTAGTTTTCAATTCAAAATTAATATTACTAAGTTCAATTCGGTACAATTCACCCCTAACTTTTGATTGCACTACACGTAGGGCATGTTGATTGAATTCTTAACAAAGCATACCCATTTACATTTATGTGTGGCAATAATCAATTTATTTAAACGACGTCAGTGGCTGATTTTAATAAGCCAGCATTGAGTTGCATAGTTATCACATGGTGGCACTCAATCAGTTGGAGTATAGGCGTCGCTCACAAGAGTTGTTAGTCTGGCCACGAAATGGCTTGCGTCTGGGTCATGAGACTTAAAAGATAGCTGCGGCACTATCTGTTAAGCAATGTGTATGAGCATTTCCGTTCTTTATCTCGAATAATTTTTTCATCCATAAATGAATGCTCACTACTATTGTAAGTCCATTGCTTTGCACACCATGCAATTGTTGCGATTCCCAATTTCCCTTAGTTAACTGTTACCAAATTGGATATTTATGTAGCTTAAAATATTCACCCCAAAAACCAATTATTTTAAATACGTCAAAAATGGATTCTCAACCTCTCCTACCGACGCCCTCCACAGATGGATTTGCCAAACAAATATATCCTTTTTCGTGGCCGTAAGTAGGGAAGCCCTGTATTGATCGAGCGCGCCCCAAGTTATGACCATCGGCGACAGGAGGGCGCTCCCGGTTGTAAACATGTGCCACGACAGCTGAGAACTGTATATACTAATCTTTTGTATTGACTCGAGAAATCATTTAAAGTATACAATACGCCATAGAAAGCTATACGTTAGCTTTATACAGTGTGAAAAGGATCCAAATGCTTTAAATATGCCCATGAAACATTATTTCATAATTTGTATAGTCAAATATTAACACTATTTCTGTTTATGTTTTTATGACTAATCTAAGTAACCTTGATAAACAATTTGATTTGCTAGACAAAACCCGTGTTAGTAATGTAATGACGCAAATGTTAGCAAAACATAAGTAGTTAGTTACTCGAAAATAATGTCGTTTCCTTAATTTTTATATTTGAGACAATTCTTTGTTGACGGGGTTCTCTTATTGTTTTATGTTTATTGTGTTTTTCTATACATTACGTCAATGCTACTCATGAGTTTAAAATAAGTATTGTTATTTATCATAATTATAACTTGAGATCCGAGTATGTTTTGTTGGTTCACAAACAATAATTAAGAACGTACGTATTTGCGAGGACTGATAAGATCTTTGTTAAGTTACCTTAAAGTCAAACTTGAATTTATATGAATAGAGTTATACATAATAATATTCTATACATTTATTCATTACTATATAATGTTTTCTGTCTTAAAACTGATTTAAGAAACAAACCTATCGTCTGAAGGATGTTCCAAACATCCGTCCAATCCGCTTAATGGTGCCTTGTTTTTAATCGACACTAGAGGTTTGTCCCACATAGGAGTCTGTTTTGAATGCAAACATTTCATGTTTTCACAGATAAAAAGGAAACCAAATACATTAAACTGCAGGAAATGAGCTCTGAATTAATTAAAATAGCTTTTGATCTTATCGCTGGTTGTTTAAGGAAGCAAATGTTTTATAAATTCAATGGTATAATCTTCAAATTTCCGTATTATTACGTAACTTTGCACATCAACGAACTTAAATATAAACAGTTGAGAAATTACATCGGATTGATTCCGTCACATTACTTAATTCACGAAAATTTTCTTAATTATACTAAAGACTAAATAACCAATACGCTTTAACTGTATTTGAAAACGATTATTTTTATTTAGTAATAATAATCTTAATAGGAATCTGTAAAATAATAATTTTATTAATATGCATGCTTCATCAAATAAATTGTTGTGAGAACAGCCACTGCTTACAAAGTGTTTGTTGGTAACAGATCGACATAGCGTTAAACTAGCCATATGCGGGTACATTGTAGGTCTACGCACCCTTTGGTAAGGATAACGATGAGATAAACAAGATTAACGGCGCCGCACCGGTAACGAAACATAGCTTTTTATCTCATAACTTTCCTTCGTTTATTATAAATGATGTCATGTATCGCGTCCCTTTCTTTAGGTATATTGTGAGAGTCTTTAACGACCTATTGTCAGTCTGTTTATTGTTAACATAATAAATTGATTTATACATATTTAAAAGAAATTCAAAAAACTAAACCATTTTAATGTTAATGTAAAATACAGTAAATTTTTCATACGCACATAAAGCAAATGTTAATGATGTAAACGTACTTTTACATAAAGATTTTATTTTTTATTGTAGATAGTTTTTTTTTAAACAGCTTATTGATATGCCCCTCAAAATTCCCAAAGAATTCTCTATCAGCGGATATAAGGTTAACTGAGAAGCGTACAAGGGAAATGTCCGAGATATTCGTGTCTTGGGGGAGCAATGATTTAGACCGTCAGATAGTAGACCTCCGGTGTTTATATTTAGATTTGAGACCCGCAAGGATAACTGACCCCTTTATCAAAATCGTTGTTTAAATTTTGTACGATCTATCACGACCACAGCTTCTATAAGATTATGCTTTGTTGCCGATATCGCTACTACAGATAAATGGAATACGTAATGTTTATTGCATTTTTTTTCCAATATAAATCAGGTCAACGCTTATTATCCGGTTTGAAATTAACAGAAAAACAGAATGATTTAATCTTTATGATCAGTATCATTGTGTACGCTCGATTGGTTCGACATTATTACGCTAGTTTGCAGACGCATTCATCTATATTAAAAATCTAGCACAATATGTATTAGAATTAACGTTTTATTTGTGTAAATGTTCTCGTACAGTAATTTATGCCTGATGTAACTTTTAACGAGATTCACATAGCAACGGTTTCCGGCGGAAAGTGTCTTATGCCTTGAGTTTCATCGGAGCGTGTACTGTGTTTTAATGAGGCTTAATATAATCTCCTTACCAAAACACTTGTAACTGGACGTTTCCTGCATAATCATTGGACGTTTTCCTGAGAAACCTTCCTAGTTGGTCATCGCGTTATATGCTCGTCTCGCTTCGAAGCCGCTAATGTTTAATTTATTGCTATTGTAATATTAACAACCACATCATTTTATTACCTAAAATGGCCCATAATCACTGGTATTACACAAATTAGGAACATTTTTGGACAAGAGTTAAAATTATATATCGTGGAGGAAAATTTATATTGGGCATTGTTTTGTATAAAACGTAATATACAAGGCAATTTGTTTCTGATTTTCATTGAGAATCATTTCAATGATATTCCAGTCTACGTTAAGTTTTTCATATAACATTCAACGCTATCACTAAAAGCAATTACGTGTAAAGATATTTCACAACGTGCTTTATTCAAACACATAAAATGTCGCGTGAAACTCAAATAGCCTTACATAATTATTAAACTGATACGAATTACTACCTTTTTATTCACTTTTCTATTTTTATATGATACTTTTATTTGTGTATCCATGTGTGTGTTACGATAACCATAAAATAAGTCATTGACGATGCACTATTGTGGCGAAATCTTATAATATGACTATTTTCATTCGCATATTCAAATGTTGTATATGCAAAAATAGCTCAGTTTTTACAAAATCTGTTGATTGTCCTAAGTACAAGTTATCACCCTGTACTAAGCGTTATCGGATTAAAAGTTTTTCGTTTATCATTCAATTCGTTGTTAATTAGCACCTATGACGATTGATAAGAAGAGGTGACACTTTATCTTGACGTTTTACACTCTTGGGGTATGCTTAGTACAAGCTTAGATCGTCACTACACATGAATCATTTCACATTTCTTATTAAATATGCGATGATTTATGTAAGCAAAAATTATTACGCTCCGTTTGGTAGGAGCAAGAATTCAGGAAGTTCTTATATCTTTTACAATAAAATATAAACCGAACAAAATACATATTAATTATAATAAAAGCACTCATCCCTTTTTCGCTTTCATCCGTTCCAGAACCTATCCGAGTATGTTTTATGTAAGTCTCCTGTCCAGGTGAATGCGTCAACCATAATATTTAGCCCATTGTCTTCTCCACAGCTGAGTCGGACGTTGTCTAAATACAAATCATTGTCAAGTTCAACAGAACTGACGTGGGGGCCGTTTGACGAGCCTCTCATATCTCATACCAGATATGGTCATGCTCATAGCATCGTATCCAATTGGATTTTTTAAAATATGCTTTAATATATAAACCAATAAATAAACCAATGAATTAGAAGATAATTTCAAGTTTCGTCTCTGTTTTGGTGCAATTCGATAAAATTTAATTTCTTTCTAACTTGATAATTTAGATCTTTGCCTTTTTGGCATTCTTTATCTAAGATTTAATACAATTTACAACGTCTATTTAACAGGAATTCCATAAGTCTTCTTTAATAACTTCTTACACAACGTAAGGCATTGAAAATTATAGTATTTTCTTGATATATTTTTAATTATATACTAAGTTGTATTAAAATATCATTTGTATATCTATATAATAGAAGTGTTGTGGACATAATAGCATTCATGTTATTAAATCTAGTGTGATCTTGTGACGATCACATTACTTCCTCATTTTGTGGTCTAACACTAACTGATACCAGACACTATTTTGCTTTGAAAGATAATATACCACACAATGAGACCGTCATAAATTATTCTAGACACCATTGTTGAATTATGCACTATGTTATTTTACGATTAGATAAAGAAAATAAAATTATAATGAATTGAGTGAAAACTATAAATGAATGAAATTACAACTCTCCCTTTATTTTTGGTATCTTTTTTTGGAACTTCTCTCTCTCTTCTTCTCTCTTCTCTCGATTCTCTAATTGTGATTATAAATAACTTTAGTATTTTTATTCAAACACTGTCTATAGATACACAAATCTGTAAAAGTACAGGATTTTATCTGCAATGTATCATGTATGTTATACTTGGAAAAGGAAATGCAAGGTATTGTAAGTATTGTCTAACGTTTTAAAATTCTACATGTAGTTCAAGTTCAAGATTCGCCCACCGGGTTATTGACCGCTCTCTGAACATGCGCGAAGAGTTTTGTCTTTCCATTACAAATCTAAATATTACTGCCATTCATAATTTATATTAAAAAATTGGATTCCATTATAATAAGAAATGCGTTTCGCAAAGATAACAGCGAATTAAATGACAAAGTTTTAATACAATATTATCTGGAATATTATCTTCGTTTGGGCGTTTTGTTAATTTTTTATGGCACTATTATAACTCACTATTTATTAATATTGATTCTGTTTAATATGTCAAATTGTTTTCAAAAATTTTGCCTTCGATAATAATCTGCTCGGTCGTGTGTCATCGAAGCCTTTAGAAATATTTGCCATTGTTTACAAGAGTTATTTCATAACTGTTTGGTATCTGGTGGATAGCAGTATGGGTTTTGGGTGAGGGTATGAGTAATATTGCGTTGGTGTTATTGATTGGCGGCAACAGGTCGTTGGGGCGTCCTTTCCCCGCGCGGCACGTTCACTTTCTTCGCAAATTTGGTTCAAGAGCCACCAATTCGGGGATTCCGAATGTTCTTTATTTGTAGAATTTATGATGATAAATCTTTATCCCGTTTTAAAGCTATTTATTTACAAGATACGGTGATTCAAAGCTTAATTTGATCGCTTTATTAGTACCCTAGTTTAAATAGTATTAAATAATTCTAAATTACATTTGACTTCACATCATTAATACAAAACTAATCCCAAATGTTCAATTAAACATTTCATATATGAATTCGTTTCTGAGCGTAGGTTTCAATATCAAATGATTCGTGGAAAATCAATTAGTTTTGTTTGTTACCTGATGTAATCAAAACATATTAATACATTTAATCGTTAGTAACATTAATTAAGTCTATATTATGATTATAAACACGTACCTTTACCATTCTAGTTATATTTAGGTAACAATATATTGAATAGAATAGTTTTGTTATTGTTAATCCTGTTTCACTATAAGCCCTTACCTTACCTTTTGACTCAGACTTGACGAATTTATATAATAAGGATGGATCAAATGCGTGTTTGTTATGATAAAGTAATATAAATAATATTGTTATTCAATATCAATATTTTTTCAATACAATACTTCATATTTTTCTTATCTCGAAAAGCCTTTTTTTTCATACGACAGATTTTTTATTTATACATAAATTTGTGTTTTAGCTCTTAAATTCACAGGCTGGTTTTTCACTTATTACCAAATATATTTTGCAAAGATCTCAAGGAGTACGGTATGAAAATGAAAATGTCTGGTATTCCAAAGACGTTATACCAACAGTATAAAATATTCCTTTACATCTTTTTAAAAATGTTAACTTAACTTAACTTTTCCTATTATTTCATTTAACCCATACTTGCATATATTGAAGTAATTACAGGTACATATTTCGTTGTTTGATATGGTAACATTTCAATATAATTTCTAATAATAATTCCGTTGAATACACCGGCGTGGTATTCAGAAACAAGAGATTACGAGAAATAACACAATAGGCTTGACATTTTGTCAATAATCGCCGTACGTGATTTGTTTATGCGACACAATAATGTCCAACTCCACGCAATGCCCAGTACAATGTGATCTTTAGACGTCTTGAATTTCAATACTGTATGAAACTGATTAAAATTATACGTGATTTTGGTTTATAAATTTGTATAGGTATTTACCTAAATAGTTTTTGTCTCAAATAACGATATTAGCAATCAAGTTTGGAACACATCCATCTTCAGAATCTAAATTGAGTTTTGCTCTTTTACGTTTTAGTAACCCTCTGAGAACCATCCATCACTGCTGCTTCAGATGCCAGAACGAAAATGCTCTTTGAAATATTTTTACTATCCTAGATCTATTCCTGAACAAGATATAACATTGCTCTGTTATCCGATATTCATAGACTTCCATGAAAGGTTATTTTAAATCCCGTATAACTGCTAACGTGTTATATTTTTTCTAAAAAATATAACACCATACTTTTGCGACAAAGGCTTTGTTTTGGTCATTAAATTTTGTTCAGATTAAAAATATTTCGACGCTAATGGATTTAGTATCTTGTTTAAAATCAGTTTTCTAAAAATGTATATAAAATACATTTTTAGAAAACTATTTAATATATTTTAGAAATACTCATTAAGGCTTAGTCTGAACGAAGCCTGTAAATTCAATCGAATCCTATTATAAAACTTTCTTGTTCTTTCAAAAATAATTTTCTTCCAACAACTTTTACTTAATAAATGCTTATAAATCATATAAATTCAATATTTCTAATCAAGTGTCGTGCCGTGAGAACGGTTGATAAGACCAACTCGACTATTGTGATGAATGTACGATCACTGTTTGACAATCTTATCTCAGTGATAGCATGTGATAGAAAAACTGTGGGTAGAAATTTTGTATACTTTGATATTTGAATTATTTATCATGATCATATAACCGAGGTTGAATATTTAACAATATCACAACCGTCTGAAGGGACTTTTTTTATTAAAAATATTCTAAATACTATTTTATCGAAGCAGTTACTTTTCGTAATATCTTATTTGATGTTCTTGAAATATTTTACGCTTTTACTTTGATCCTTTCTATGTTTTATATACTATCTTCGGATCATTCAAAGAAGACCACTATCGGCTCTCGCCAACACTTATTTTTTGAAAATAAAAAATGAATATGGTTGTAAGACTAATGTCTAATAATTTGGTTAACTGAAATCTGGTCTAGTCTCTATGCTTTCTCATTTTTCGTTTATCCCAAAGCAATTTGTTAGACGAAAGAGTTGTTGGAACGTCGTGCAAACATTTCTCGTTACGAAGTTATGTCCAACATTCTAACTATCTGTGTCTTTTTCCAAATTTTTTTGGACCGACATGATATTTTGCACTGTATTCATATGTGTAAATTTCTATATTTAAGCAGCTTATACTTGTGTTGTCTATATTTTAATTATTAATTTTAAGAGTTATGAGTTTTTTATTTATATATGCCTTCATGAAATATTTCGCTTGTATTTGTGGTTTCTTTGCCTTCCATATATTCTCCGTTTCTTATTTTATCCATTCTCCCATTCTTACTTTTAGACACATTTTTCACTAAATTTCTTGTTATCCTTACATTAGAGAAAACAGCTAGTCATGACTGTACTGACAAAGAGCTTCAAACAATTTGTAATAACCATTTTTGGCTATAATAGTAATTACGGATTTCTTGAACATTCATAACCAGTTCAGTCTAACTTAGCCTAAGAAAAAATTTAAGTTAGTTTTTATACTAAGTAAATAGACATTAAAAAAAATACTATTTTTTGTTAATGTCTTCGATTTTTCGGTATCTTATTTAGATTGTTTAGTTCTTTCGGGCTAATTCGTGTTCATACTAAACTAACATAAAATTAGTTATTTATATGTAGTACAGTACAATACGATTTATTATTATTAGTCCTTCATATAATTAAATAACAATCAAACATGTAATAAAACTTTAATTCACAAAGGTATCGTTTAATTACTTTCATTAGATCTAGGAACTCTAATAAATCCGTATAAAAACTATTTCCCATTTAAGAATGAACCATAAAATGTTCTTTTTACTTTGTCCGTACGTACGTGGAAGAAGACGATTCTTGAAGCAATAAAGTTTATCACGAGTAGAAAGGAATAAAATTATCTGCCTGTTTAAAGCGAAGCAAAAACTGATTGTAAATAGATCCCGAAGACAGACTTCCAAGATTACTGGAAGTACACATATAAAACAACTTTTACGATTCAAATGAATAGCAAGTGATAAAAATCTCATTACCTTTTTTCATTTAAAACTCCTTTGGTATTAAAATAACTGAGTTTTTTTGAGGATAAATAACCAGCTACATTGGACGTTTATTTATTAATTAGTGTAGCAGCTTTAAAATTAATATGACTGTGATATTAGAACTCATTATTAAATTAAATGATAGGTAAAATATACTAATATAAATATATGGTCGGTACCATATATGTATCTATAATAAGGCAAGGTAATCAGCCGATGGTCAAGGTTAATATTTAATATGGAATGCTAGTTATTCGTATAGTTCTAAATAGATATTCCTAGGTCAAGAGAAGGTTTTAACATTGCTATATTTTTTCTTCAGGAGCGGCTGGGCGCGGCGTAGCGGGTGGCCGCGCCATGGGTAACAAGTGCTGCAGCCGCCGTCACGACCCTGATAGACCTCTCGGTAAGGTTCAAAACTCAAATAAAAATTACCTTAAACTACCCTCAAATAATACTTACCTTACCCTCCACTTTATTAATTACCAGCATAAAATCTCAGTGTACACGTAATACTTGAAGCTAATATTTTACGCAAGTTAAAATAAATGTTGCGTATTTATAAATAAAATTATTATTTTTACATTAAAAATTGTTCAGTAATATATGTAGCCTCGTGTGTATAACATGCGAAACCCGTATTCCCATACGTCAAGAACCTTGCACCTAGACTACCACCCCACCCTAGTCCTCTTCAAAAAGCTGTAAGTGCAGAGCCGCCCGGAAGTGTTCTGTACGATAATATAAAATTGTTTCTTTTGTCTAGTTCGCTACTTTCTATGTCTAGACTTTAATGGCGAGTCATAGAACGAAATGGATTTTTGATTTCTTGACTATGATCGGCAATCGTAATCTTTATATATAAAAGAAAAATGTGTTTGTTACACTATTAATAACTCAAGAACAGCTGTACGGATATAGTTCAAAAGTGGTGAAGAGATAGCTTAGAACCCGGAGACGGACATTTAATTCTGTTCGATCGGAAGGGTATGAAAAACTTTTAATAAATCCAATATCTGATTAATTATTTATGACCCTTAAGGCGGAATAGAGTTTGCCCGGTCAGCTATACATATATTACTAATTTCGAAAGTAACGCGGACGAAGTCGCGGGCAAAAACTAATATTCAATATAAAAGTCTTTCATTGATCACGTTTTAACATTTCAATTCTAAAATTAGAACGAAATCGTTACTAAAAATACAATGGAAATTGTAGTCTCGATGGAAGATCTTATTTTAGAATTATTTGAACAATGTTATAAAGATACTCTCTGATAAATGAAATTAATGTTTATATTCGATTTTAACATTCCATTATCTAAGTTAAACACCGCAAAACTTCCAGTCTCAAATGCCCGAGCGGAAACAATTTTCTTTAAACAATACTCGAGATTTTTTCACACGATGTTTGAACTTGCCCACTTTGACTCTGTTCGTGTATATTAATTTTTTTATTATCATTCTGTTTTCTTACGCACATTTTCATTATGATATTTCTAAAATTAGCGAAATATTTTGTTTATTTCAAAAAACCTAGGAATTTTCATTCATTAAGACTTAATTTTATGTCACGTATTTTTCTTGTTGAACGTTTTTATTACTATTAAAGATTCGATAAAAAGAACTATTTGTTTTTTGTATCTAGCAATCAATTAGCACTGACGCAAATTAGATGTATAAACAAGATAAAAAAAACCTATTAGGAATGTGCCTTCGATTAGATTTGGTATACTTTTAATGTTCATACATTTCTTATAATAAATAAATACGCAGAGCAACTTTCTCAGCAATAAAATAGTTAAAACACATTAACCATTTCCCACAACTTTACGGATATCAGTCAATGCCTTTTCTTAACGACCAATACATAATTCTTGATAATGAGGTTGAATGGCCAAAGAACCATTTAACGTCGGCTGTGTGTGAGTCAGTTAATTTAATAATAATTTGTTTATAAAAAAAAAATACCATACACTTTTTAGTTTTAAAACGCATGTTCAAAATGGCCGTGCTTATTGATTTATTGTTAAATAATTTAAGTGTGGCCGTTGTGTCGAATATCATAGCGATAAAATATATGTGGGTTAAACCTCGTTCAATAAAATATTTCAATATACAAATTAATTAGTCATTTTCTCTTAATCGTTAATTAAAAACTATTCCCTGATCATTTAGTTGTTAACGACTCTTTCAAATGAAATAATGAACTTAACAAAATCGTCATGCACATTTGAGACAAAATAAAATATGTAATTCTTAACTTGGATAAAAAAGTTTAAGTAGGTATATTTAAAGTAACTATGTACTTCTTAATATTTATTCTTAACCGCTGACTCAAGAAGAGGGCAATTATAAGTCTGATGAGTGTCTCATTTCCAAATTTATAAATAAATAAAGATATTTTCTTGTATTGTTAATAGATTATGTGAGAATCAACATTTAGGGATTTTTATAATTTCATGAAATACCATTATATAAGAAGAATAATGCCCTCTAATAAGTATCATTTTCACAATACAAAAACTGCTTCATTATACCGATAAATTACCGTTTTAATCTGACCTTCATTTATCATGACCAACACGAACAAAAACATATCAATCCAATTAAGATAATTGGATATTTCATTGACAATATAACATACTTTCAGTATACCCAGCCTATAAAAAGAATGAGGCGGGTTTTACGTCATGTCCGTCGCTGGAAACACGGTACACAGGCGAGCCGAACAACCGAGCGGTCGCTCGACGGCCAGCCGATATTGTGAGGACGAGGAATCCCGGGGCATGTAAGTATACTAGCACTAGATTAAACATTATATTTTCCATACGCGAAGCCAAGACAACTAAATATCTTTATATTTTTAGCAATTAATTCAGTGATTCGAATAGTTTTTTTTATTAGAATATGTACAGTATCTTTAACAAAAGAAAAAAAATATCAGATTATCGGGTAATCACGTTATCGGGTAATAATGAGATTAAGATTTTCGTGAGTATTATATTTTCATTTAAATATAATTGATATCTTCGGATTACTACGCGTATTTTATTTTCTTAAAAAATACATACTCCGGTCGTTTCGGTTACTTTCCAGCAACCGTGATTAGCAGACGAGATGTTAAAAATAATAATCGTAGTAATCCGAAAATATTACTTTCATTTATGTGAATATTCGCGAAAGTCTTAGATCTCATTACCCGATAATGTTAATTTAATCTGCTAACCTTTTTTCCTTTTGTTAAAGATACAGTACATATTTAAAGAAATAATTTAAATCACTCAATTTATTGCTAAAAATATAAAGAGTTTTAATTATCTTGGCTTCAAAAATATATTGATGCTTAATATGTTTGAGTCATCAAAAAAGTGTAGGTTATTTTATCCAGTGTTCTGAAGTTTATTAACGGTTACACCGAATATAATACATATGTATTTTTTTATTGCTTTATTCTACATATAACAGTAAGACATATATACTATAGACGTAAGATTGGTTTATAAAATAGGAACAAGCTTTCGAGGCAGAATTGTAATCGTTGTGTAACGCCGATGTGGCTCTAGTTGATTTTGCGTAACGCTTTAATTACCTAAGAGGCAACCGTTATCTCGTTAAAATATAATATTTTGAGCTTAGGCATACTTTAGCCAGCACTGGCAAGCGGCCAGCATTGCCTTCTCTGGCGACATAACTTTATGAATATACAAACGACTGCTTAATACGATTTAAAATATTCAGATCATTATTCCTTGAATACAATTTATATGAGAGTTGCGGAAAGTGTTTTAAGTTAAATGAGCCATGATGCTAATTGTGAGCGGCGCTAATGCTTAATGGAATTTAGTAAACGGTTTCTCTTTAATTTTTACACTATTACAAATGCGGTTTGAATGAAAAATAATGCAAAAAAATTACCATTAAAATCTAATTAATACATTATTTTCTACATTAAAAATAAGAGAGCTATCTCCTATATAGACTTACCGTTTAAGCTTTTTGCATTCATAGTCCTTGAACGTACTAAATGTGGAACTACCCTAATTCCAGGTATACCAAACGGCGGTCGTCGTGTAGTGAAGGCGTTATGCGCTTATACAGCACGTGCGGAATCGGATATATCATTCAGGAAGGGGGATCGTATGGAAGTACTTAGTGATGCTGAACCTGATTGGTGGAGGGTCCTTCATATCACTACAAGGAGGGAGGGCTTGGTACCAGCCAATTTTGTGGCTGAGGAAAGCTCAGTGGAATGTGAAGAGTAAGTAATTTAATCTTATTAACACTTTATTCCAGAAAACTAACTTAGAAGATCGATCAAGAAAACCAGCAATCTTTCTTTTTAGAGACAGGCTATATTTTTCGTAGTAAACTTTTTGATATCTTTCTTAATAGATTTTCAAAACTAAATGTGTTTCTCTACATGTTTTTATTGTTTTATCCCATATATAAGATTTGCACGTGTTAGTTCAACAATGACTCAGCTTTCATGGTTTATATAAATAAATTATTTAGCTCCATATATATAATGTAAATTTTATATGTATTTCTTTTTGCCCATCATATAATTCTAATTAAGTAATTTAAAATACGATTAGTAATATCCTTAAAGTTAATTAAAAGTCAAGTTAATTAACTGTTGCTGGAACGAATTTTATAGCTAAAACGTGATACAAAGTATAATTTATTTTGATGGTCCAAAAATTTTTGTTAGTTTTCCATATGATTTAATATGATGATTGGTATGTTGCTAACAATTTAAAAATTTCTTTTCAGCTGGTTTTTCCCTCACGTGTCAAGAAAAGAGGCGGATAAATTACTCCTAGCTGAGATCAATCCTAGAGGAACGTTTTTAGTACGTCCTGCAGAACATAATCCTCATGGGTTCAGTCTAAGTGTTAAAGACTGGGAAGAAGGCAGAGGATACCATGTTAAACACTATAAGATAAAACCCTTAGATAATGGAGGCTTCTATATCGCTACTAATCAAACCTTCCCAAGTTTACCAGCGCTCGTTATGTCCTATACGAGTAAGTTTTACTTAATTGCTTTATAGTACTGCTTTTACTTCTTTTCTATATAAATTATCTGGCGACTGGTAAAAATCTTATATATATGCATACTTCTCTGGTAAGGTGTAAAATAGATACCACTTGTACTGAATAACCTCGCGTGTTTGAGCAACTAACCTATAATAACTCATAATTCCAATGATGTGTGCTCACTATTACAGAAAACGCATTAGGTCTTTGTCACGTTCTCGCTCGGCCTTGTCCTAAGCCGGAACCTCAAATGTGGGATCTTGGACCTGAACTAAGAGATAAATGGGAAATACCAAGGAACCAAATACAATTGATTAAAAAACTCGGACAGGGGAATTTCGGTGAAGTCTATTATGGGAAATGGTGTAACAATATTGAGGTGAGTGATAACATCTGTTGTATTTCCTAAAAAAGATTATTTAATTTAAATTGAGGTTTTTTTACCAGGTTGCCGTAAAAACGCTAAGGGAAGGCACTATGTCCAAACAAGCTTTCCTACAAGAAGCTGCCATTATGAAGAAATTCCGACATAAGCGCCTTGTAGCGTTGTATGCAGTTTGTTCTCAACAGGAACCTGTATATATCGTTCAAGAGTATATGTGTAAGGGATCTCTGCTAGAGTTCCTTAGAAATGGTGAAGGTAAAGCCCTCCATTTCGAAGACCTAGTCTACATAGCAGCCCAAGTCGCATCGGGCATGGAATATCTTGAATCCAAACTCCTCATACATAGAGACTTAGCTGCTAGAAACGTACTGATAGGAGAGAATAATGTGGCAAAAATATGCGACTTCGGTTTAGCGAGGGTCATTGAAGATAATGAGTACTGTCCAAAGCAAGGATCCCGGTTTCCTGTGAAATGGACGGCACCAGAGGCTATTATTTATGGTCGATTCTCCATAAAGAGCGACGTCTGGTCGTACGGAATACTATTAATGGAACTGTTTACGTACGGTCAGATACCGTATCCAGGTTTACACGGCAAGGAAGTCATAGAACAGGTGGAAAGAGGTTACAGAATGCCGAAACCTGTTGGACATTATCTGCCCGATGACATATATAGACTCATGCTGCAGTGTTGGGACGCGGTGCCAGAAAAACGACCCACCTTCGAATTCCTCAATCACTACTTCGAATCCTTCACAGTGACCAGTGAAATACCGTACAGAGAGGTCCAAGACTAGTGTGCTGTGATAAATGTGAAATTACACTTATAAACTGAGAGTGTATCGTTCATTTTGATAGGAAAGCTGATTTATTTGCTTTTAAGTGAAGCCTGGCGACTTGTAACCTTTAAATTGTCATAAACTTTAGTACTAAAGTGATTATGATTTAAACGAGCGTTTTTGAGGAGCGTTTTGTGTAGGGTCCTTAGCGAATGAACGGAATTATATATGTGTGTTGCATCACATCATATTCGATTCATGCATTTGGCTGACCATTAACAAAGCACACACAAAGTTATAGTATCTTTAGTATTTTTTTAATCAAAGCGTTACTAAACTATACAGGAAAGTGTGAGCTTGTCGTTTTTATTCATCGGCTTTGGTATGATTTGTAGTTAAATATTAAGATGTTAGTAAAACGAAGTGAATAACAAGTCAGTTAAGTCCACTGACCTAATATAAGAAACTATAGTATTGTGCAAACACCTATTTTCTTATTTATTAGCGATAGCTTAAGCACTGTTAGTATATGTTGCATTTGTACAAAATTGTTCACTATGACATAAGCAATAAGGTTGAAAACGAAATTAATCGTGAATATTTTCATATTCTAAATTGATATGTGATATTTTTAATCACATTCATCCTTTATTGATGACATTCACTGCTTGTACTTTTTTTTTATTTGAATGGTGCTAGAGCGAGTCGGCTCTACCTTAAACGGTGAAGTTTATGTTTAAATATGATTAATTTCAATTTGGTCCATTTCATCTACATCGATGTATACGCTATATATATAATGTAACGCTCTTGATCTCATGGTTAACGTTCTTTCTAAAATATAAAACATTTGTACTTGTTTGCACCCAACATATGTAAGAAATTTAAATTGTCAAGTTCACTGGCATTAGAAAAAAACTAATGTACATTTGGAGGCCCATTTTAATACGTAAATTATTCGTTGCCAGAATTGATATCATGCATAAACATAAGATGGAAAACCCTATGGGCTCCTTTGCGAATTTTGTATAAAATCACCATACCATATATAACAACTCCACAGATAATAGTATCATCCCATTATGCAAAGGGGCCAACTTTCACATAAATTTATAGCTTTAGGACCATATACCAAAGAGTTATTGTACATTGAAAAAAAAAATAGTTTTAAGCGGGGGCATATTTAATTTAGCGAATTAAGGAATTGTGAGCTATATCCCCTAATCTGACATGAAAGTTAAAATTTTGATTGACATATTTTGATGGCACTTTTATCATCGATTTAAAGCTTCAGAATAGTCATTGATGTTATGATCAAATGATTTTGTTCTCATTGAAAGATTAATGCAAAACAAACAGTTAATATTCAATTATTATTTTTGAAAACCCCAGCCTACTAAATGTGTCATCATAAATTTATTAAATTAATACAAATCACCATAACATAAATATTTTTGTGATCTTTATCTATAAAGTGTAAGTGAAAATGTACTGGCAGCTCTCATTATTTCACAATCTGATCTGAACTGTTTACCGATCACATAAGTTATTTGCAATATTAAATGTATTAAAAATTTAAATTCATGCTTTAATCACTTAATAATTTTCATTCCTAGAATTTGTATGGATCAATGGGAATAGTGTCTTGTAACATTCCAAATAATCAAACACTTTAAAATTTGGACACTTTTGTATGAAACGGATAGGTTTAAGATTTTGTACATACAATGAAATAAATGTCATTGAAATAAAATTTGTTTTATTTATCACTGATAAATATTTTTATAGTCATAATAAAATTTGTGACTGTATTATACATAATAACCTCACTGGCACAATGTGACAATATTTAAGATATCATTTTATTAAAAAAAAAAACTTATAATTAAAATAAAAATGGATGTAAGTAATTTCTTTTATAATAATAATTTTATCTCATGTAATTTGAGCAATGACGAAATACAACAAAAATGTTGAATTCCTTCTAAAAATACATGTCTCATCACAGATAAAAACTTTAAAAAAATCTTCGAGGGTGTAAAATTTTCAAGGTCATAATTTAAAAACTTAAATTTCATCTAATTAATTATCTAAGCTTTTTACAAAAGCTACTTTGGCTAAAATTCATACCGTATCAGCGTACATTTTGCTCTTAATCCTAAGATATCTATATTCTGATGCGTAGAATCTTTTAAGGAAATACCACGAGTAACTTATACCTGAAGGTACATAGTTCGGATTCTTCTTGCTATAATGGTTAAGGAAGATCGCCAATGCTACCAACATACCCGACCACACATATCTGAAAAAGATATACACTTTTGAATAGCAGCCAAGCATTTTAAATCTCCATCGTTTTTTTAAATAAATATTCACTGCTTAAACAACACTGCAGCGAAAATAAAAGTATTATAAATAGTACTTACTGAAAAACAAAAGGTTTGCTGAACAGCAAAAATGATATTATAATAGAAAAAACTTTTCTCATAGTAGTGACTGTAACAGCGACAGTGGCGCCACAAATACGAACTAAAGTCAAGACAGCTTGTAATCCAATGTAGCCACTCACACTTAACAAAAATATGTTGGTGTACATTTTTATCCAATTCTGAAACACAGGAATATTATAGTTAAGTATATGATACTAAGTATTCATTATTATTTCAGATACAAATAACCCTTAAACTACATTTTATTATTAATAGTCTAGTCGACAAGTTGAAAATGGTACAGAATAGCGGTACTGCTCTTAAAATTATGTGCGATAGCTCATTGAATCCGGAATGACGCCTAGAAAAATGTGCCGATAGCGTTTATTGGCACATAAAAATTATAAAAAGTTATAAACAATTAAACAAGGGAAAAATGGCATTTCGTTTTTGCCAATATTTCATAAGCTATTAATATTTAAGAAACTTCAATAAAAGAGTCTGAAATTATCAACCTGTCGACTAGACTATAGTATTAATTGATATATCCCATGTAAAAGTTACATGTTTTACAAATTGCTTACATTACAAGTTCAGAGCCTAATTTATATTACTTGATTATTATCAACAATAATTTGAAAATATCTATTTAGTATTTAGGAATTATTAGTATTTTTTTTTTAATTTCGTTTAGGCATTTTTATGTGAACACGTTATAAGAAGACACAACACAATATAAGGGTGAATATACGCTATTTGGTTTTTTCGTGTCCCAGAAGGAAATGTTATCGGTTCCATTCAATATTTATAATTTACTAGAAGACCTGGCGAACTTCGTATCGGCCTATAATCAAGAAATATCTATTACGTTTTTTCATTTATATTTTTGGAGTTTACCTGTAAGCCATAAATCTCCGTGTTTTGAAGTGCGACAGAATGATTGACATATTAGTTAGTTGTCAAATCTAATATCAAAAAAAACGTTTGTATGGGAAATAGAAAAGGGCTGTTTTTATGGTTTTCCCAGTAATGAATCAATTTTTTTCAGCTTTTATACCTTCCCTGAACTTCCTCGAACATTTCAAGACTAAGATAAGATAAATCCGTTCAGCTGTTCTCGAGTTTTAGCGAGACTAAGGAACAGCAATCCATTTTTATATATATAGAAGATAGAAGATAGAAGAAGAAGATTTATTTGACACTATTTTAAAATTAGTAATCAAAGGGGCCAGAGGCTTATTAATTTTTTTTCAGTTTTATAAGCACGAGAGGGAAATGTGTTACCAGAAGAGTGACACTGTTGCCAGAGTAGTAACAAATCAAAGCAGAATATTGTCATACCATTGATTATTAGCTAAGAAAATTGACTAATATTAAATAAACCGTCTGTTTGCTTCTATTTATTTATTAAAAAAAATTGTCACTCCTCTGGCTATAATGTATATAATATTCCAGAGGAGTGACGCTAGACAAGTGACGAAATCACACATAATGTATTAAAATTAACATAACTCACTTTTCTTACATCAGTTTAAGTTAATATATGACATCTACGGACAATAAGCATTGATTATAGAAATTAACAATTTCGTAACGATACAATACAAATATATATGCTTACCAAAGGAAAATACTCCAACGACTGGCACAAAATTACTTTCCGAAAGTTTATCGAATTAAAGTGATCCAATGTTTTTTAAATTTTGCTCAAATTATTTAGCTTGCCTCTAATTTCAAACAGTTTTTCTCCCATTCTTTGAGATCAAAAGCACAAAATTGTGATTTTTAATAAAATTTTAAGTCTTTGATTTCCGCCAGATGAAGTGACAGACTTGTAATAAAGTTATATTATGTTTCGATGTTTATTAAAGCGTATGACCACATTAAATAGAAAACATAATAGTGTAATTTTTGAAAGTTATCAGCGATAAGTTCATTTTAATTCATAAATGGGAAGGCCAGATAGGAGTATACATTTTAAAATATTATTAAAAATATAAATTAACTACTAATATCGTGAATAGTCTTTGTGGGCCAGATAAAATGCCATATTCTTTATTGTTTAAGCATGGAGAGACAATGATATAATAAGTTTCACATAAAAATTTTCTATAGACCAATGGCATTCAAATAACGTATATTCACCCATATATCAATAATTAATTTCTTAGTCAAACCTCAAAACAGACACTCATTGACTTCCTGGTACTTGACAACGCCATCTGCTGTTGTGTCGTTAAAGCAATTAGTAAAAGCAAATAGCAAAAAGTAGTACTACTATTCGTCAATAGATGTCAGGAAGAGTCATATTTTAAACGACTCCTTTTGTATTTTTTTTGTACAAGAATTGCTCATTTAAATATATAAGATAAAATTGTTTACTTCCTATAAATAAACAAAATATGTAATTTAATTACCTTTGAACAATAATAATATCCATCTATCATAATTCCAGTACTCATTGTAATAACAATCAGATAACCACATGCTATAGCATATGAAAAGAACACCACTTCATTGTTGGTAGCTTGGAACTGTTTCATCGCCTTTTCCTGGACATTGCCGATAATAGCATCACAGAATAGTGCCAGAGATATCACTACAACTCCAAATGAGTCAAAATTGGGAGAAGTTTGGGAATCAGCTGTAAACAAAAAATAAATAGATTAATCATTTTTAAGATATTTATTTATATTTGATCTTATGATTTTCATAATACTTAGCAAATCTTTGTCATCTTTTTAAAACCTTTCTAATGAACAGTTTCTTGGATTATAAAGGCTCTATCAACATTAAATTCTTAATTTGATATATTTCTATATAATTTAAGACAGTCATAGACATGCACATGTTAAATGATAGATAAAGGTACTGATGTCAATTAAATATTAGGTTTCATATATCTTACCCAAGGTAAACATTGTCAGTCCAATACACATTACAATAGCTGCTAAGTAATCTAAAAAGCCATATCTCTTCCCGAGTATAATAATACTGCCCGCCATCACTGGTATTAACTTGCAGCTTTTAAATATTAGCTGCGTTGGATAGTTTAAATAACTAAGTGCAAGATTTGATAAGGACATTGTGCCTAAAGTTAAAGCTGCTAGTAGTGCATATGTTTTTATTGGTACTCTGCAAGAAAAAATAATTAATTTAGAAATACATTAACTAAATGTTATAGTTTAGGTAGAGTGGACATTTAACAGTGGAGGTGAGTGTTTAATGCGTATCAGATAGGGGCGTCTTAAACCTACACCTGGGTTGCAAGTCCCAGGAACTGATAAATCTCCTGTTAAAGAATCCTGAGAAATTTTGTCTTTTCATAAAAAAATATCTCAATTCAAATATTCACTTACTCAACTTACTTAATTTAAAATGTAATATCAGATTTATTTATAAATATACTTACTTCCTCTTAATTGGAATCCTAACCATAGATTCAACATAACTTAGTGCAGTGGTAATCAAAAACTGTATCAATGTTATGTAGAGACTCACTGGCTTTACTTCTGGATTTGAAAAAATTTCTTCTAAGAAACAGCCATATGCTAAATAGCATAAAAATACAAAGAAACAGCAGACTAGGAACTGTGTTAAATGACTTAATGAAGTAATGTCAAAACATAATATATTGATAGTGTCCCTGCCGGGAACACTACCGTCATCAACTTTGATAATGGTATCCTTCATTGGTTTCATGGTGATAAATATTATATTTCAATTACAATTTTGTGTCCATTATATCTGAAATGGAAATAGATTATTTAAATTATTCTTATCGTAGTAATTATAATTATCATATACACTTGTTGAGTCATGTAATATGAAAGATATTTTTCCATTGCAATGCACAAATACTTGCTCTTTAAATATTGAATCTAAAACTTTTTTAAATTTTGAAACGAAAAACGAAGTTTTAAAAGACTCGCAACACATAAATATTGAAAATCATGATAATATAACTTAGGTAAATACTGAACACCTAAGTTAGTAGTAGGTTATTTGTTGTAGTGACAAATTGGTAAAATGTAAGATCTCCTGTATTATAAATATTTGCTTGTATATCTAAGCAGGTCTCTTAATATTCGTCTTTCGGTGTATAGACGAAACTGCTATTTTTTGCAAGTCTAGCTTAAACATTAATTTTAATGCAAGACACTTTTGAATTAAAGAATTCTTAAGATACACTTAAACAAGTGATAAAGGGAATTGCATTTTAATTTGTTAAGGAAAGGAACCACTCACTTCTTAGTTCTTAATAAAGTAAATAATTATTTTTAATATAAATTATAAACATTGTGTTGTCATCAATATAAAATGTCACTGATATAACATGACATTCTTGATTGTAGATGTCACCATGATATTTTTTATCACTGTTAATGTCAGTGAATCTGTTAATGATGAAAATACTTAGTATTAATAAGCGAAAAGTATATTGTTTCATTTCTATTTCCTTGAAATTCTATATCATGAAGAAAATATCCAATTATTTTTGCCTACAACAGAAAATATTCTCAATGTTAAGAACGACCCAGAAAATAAACTGCCTGTAGGTTTTTTAAAACTTTTTTAAAAAATTATTCCCTAGTCGTCTCATGATTTCATTTAAATAAGTTTTTGTTTCATTGTTAAAGCAATTGTAATTAATTACTAATCGTAATTGCCACTTTAAAACATTTATAATCAAATATAGAAGAAAATTGACATAAATACTCACAATATAAACAAATCTTTGTTGTGTATAATCACATTATTCCGTTATCTATATAGTTTATTAAAATGTTCAAATACTTACATTTTCGATAAGAGAAAAGTTTGCCTGTTATTATATAAACCATTGTGTTTATTTTACCTCCAAAACCTACAGCTTTTAAGATAAACTTCTTTATCTAATACAATACTCCTTTTTCTTATTTTTCAATCTAAAAATTTAATTGTTAGTTTTTTTTGGGTTCCGCAACAACTGTATTACAAGTAAAATGTTTAGTTCTTGTCAAATAATAATCGATTCTTGTTAAATTTACATGGCAATGTAAATATAAAATAATTAAAAATCTTAAAAAGTGGCGACACTGAGATCTACATTTTTCTATGTGGGTATTAGTTAACAAACAAATAGATATTGGATACAGTAAAATCCTTGTTTTTTATCTGAAAAATATACAGTTTCATAGTTTCACTATAAATCTATAACAGCTGAAGAATGTGAGTGTAAGAAATATTTGACAATATTTCATAGTTTTCGCGGAAATATATAAGATATAATTATTAAAACAATACGTCAACATTCGCAGATCGCATAATCAGGCTGACAAACTGGATTGAGAACAATGATGGACTCGGACTCGTCCGGTGCGGACTTCTGCAGGTTTTGCAGATCGGAAGCGTCTTCTGACAGACCTCTGTTCCATCCATGTATATGTACAGGCTCAATAAAATGGATCCATCAAGAATGTTTAGTTCAGTGGATGCGATATTCGCGGAAAGAAATATGCGAATTGTGTGGGCACCGGTTTTCATTTATGCCGATATATTCGCCGGATATGCCGCGAAGATTGCCCATAAAGGATGTTGTTGGCGGGCTTGTGACCTCAGTTGCTTCTGCTGTTAAAGACTGGTTACACTACACCCTTGTAGCACTCGCCTGGCTTGGTATAGTACCTTTAACAGCATGTCGAACATACCGCTGTTTATTTTCAGGGTCCTTAGACCCCGTAATTTCATTACCTTTTGATATTGTATCAGCGGAAAACCTGGCCAAAGATGTCTTCTCTGGATGTTTTGTTGTAACATGCACCTTATTTGCTTTTGTTGGGTTGGTGTGGTTAAGAGAACAGATAATGCATGGCGGTGGCCCTGATTGGATGGAACGGGAAAATTTACCTCCTCTTGCTGTAGATGAAATCCTTTTAGAAGATAATAATAATGACCATGTAAATGAAGGGGCGGGTGATGATGGTGTGGCAAGAGAAGAACCAAATGCCGAAGCTGGTGATGACCCTTTAGTGGGTGATGAAGCAAATTGGAATCCCATGGAATGGGATCGAGCAGCGGCAGAGGAACTGACATGGGCTCGACTGCTTGGTCTAGATGGATCGATGGTTTTCCTAGAACATGTATTTTGGGTGGTGTCGTTAAACACATTGTTCATTGTTGTGTTTGCCTTTTGCCCATACCATATTGGCAAATTGGGGGCAGCAATGGCTGGTTTAGCTGCGGAAGGACCTTTTGCTGGGTTGTTAACAGCATTGGCGGGATATGTGATTGTAGGAGCCATACTTGCAGTGCTACATGGTATGGCATCTCTACTTAGACTGAGAAGTGCGAAAAAAGCATTAGGATTTTGCTATGTGGTAGTGAAAGTGGCATTATTATCTGTTGTAGAAGTAGGTGTTAAGTTTTTGTTAATCTTTTAAAGTTTTTTTGATATCTTTAAATAACAATAATGATATGTTTCAGATTGGTGTAATACCGCTAGTTTGCGGCTGGTGGCTAGATTTGTGTTCTTTATCGATGTTTGATGCAACTCTCAAGGATAGAGAGTCGAGTCTTCAGGCTGCGCCATGGACTTTAATGTTCATCCATTGGCTTGTCGGAATGGTCTATGTTTACTACTTTGCTTCCTTCATCCTATTATTGAGAGAAGTGCTAAGACCCGGCGTTTTATGGTTTTTGAAAAATCTGAATGATCCCGATTTCAGTCCGGTGCAGGTGAGTTTTGTTTATATTCAACTTCTACATAATGTATAAGTAATTATTATAAAATTTTATTATTATTACTATTACTATAAAATTATTTCCTATGAGCAGTAATTTAATTGAGTAAATATTTTCCTGTAATTATATATTGATTCTTAATCTTCAATAACTTTCAATGCTACTTGACTTATTAACAAGTCAAATAGGCGAGCTTGTTATTGGCAAAACCATTATTTTATTTAACATTACTTTATATAATGCATACCGAAGAAAGAATTACGGTGACATTTTATAATTTATGTTAAATGAAGTTATCATAAATATTCATAAAGAGAGTAATTCAATATATTGCGAAATAATTTACTTTACATTTTTTATTCTAAGTATTTAATGTGATTATTTAGAGAAAAATAATTTTAAGTTGTATATCAACCTTGTACTTTGCACTATATCAATATATTAATATATATGTTAATGAGGTTTTCCTTAACTTAATTAACATATTAAATGGGATGTAGTTTTATAACTGTAATAACTTGTATTAAAAATGTGTATAATTTTTTTTTTATGACTTGTTTGTAGTTATATTGTAGTTTCTATGGAGGCAATGTTTTTATACTATTAACAATTCTTTTTCTCTTGTTCAATATAATCTTGAGAATTGCTGAATAGATTTCGATGATCCTTTTATCAGATGAATTAATTATTAATTTTCTTTCAGTTTCATAACCTTTAGAAACTTAGAAAAAAATTATTTCATGTCTTAAGTTATAATTAAATTTGAAATAGATATCACCAAACAACACCAAAAATATTTAGATAGTAATTTCACAAGCATGAAGACATTTTTCATTCACAATTCTTCACATGTGATAGTATCAACTCAAGTCTATGAATGTAAAACACACACACTAACACACATACAGTTTGAAAAGAAAACTTATTTTAAGTTGTTTACTATTGTATTAAACAGTACAATAACATAACTGTATTGTCAGTTTTTATAGAACATTTACATAAATATATAAATAAGTTTTTCTTTTTCCTATTTCCAGGAAATGATTCATCTCTCGGTGTGGTCTCACATACGCCGTCTTGTTGTATCCGCTATGGTTTTCGGCACGGCCGTACTATTCATGTTATGGCTTCCTATACGTGTAATCAAATACGTTCTACCCGGCTTCCTACCTTACGCGGTTGCCGTGCACACCGATGCACCGGTCAATGAACTCAGTTTGGAGCTTTTATTGCTACAGGTGCAGTATATAAATTATACTAGTATGCATGTCATTCTTTGTTTCAAGAGAAATTAATAATGAATGCTCAAATAGAATAGATATATTAACCAACTGGTTCCATCTATTGTCTGTGATGTGATTTCATGAAAAAACTTTTTTATAAACGAAATTTTTCAGTGACCAATATTTTAATCATCAAAATAAGTGTCTAAGGTGTATCTAAGTTTCGTAAAAATCAATTAAAGCCCCTATTTAGACTAAATATGTATATGTATAAGATGATCATAAACTTTCATATTTATAATATTGTTATAAATGCATACTAGAAATCAAAATTCAAAAGTACTCATAGTAATCTAACATATATTTTAATAAAATTCTAAAATACGAGGCGATCTTATCGCTTAATAACGGTCTGCTTTAGACAATTGCACTCATAAGATGATAAAACAACAGATATTGAGAGAATTATATGAAATGAAATGCAATGAGATATATTTCTATAAATTTACCTATACCTTTAATATGTAGTATGTTTATAAATATATTACAAAACTTAAAATATAATATATATTACAAAAATAATAGTGATCAACTTCGAAAGTTATACTATTGTAGTAACTATTATCATTATTGTAATTAATAATATTTTCGCAGGTGATCCTACCAGCTTTGCTGGAACAGTCTCACACCAGGACATGGTTGAAGGCCGGTCTACGTGCGTGGTGCGGCTGCGCTGCGGGTCTGCTAGGACTTCGCTCTTACTTACTGGGCGAGGCGTCGAGAGAGAACGAGCCTCACCCACCACCACACCCACCACATCAGTTAGGAGCCGCTCATAGGGTAATTATTTAGATTTTTTTATATGTGAAAATTGGCAAGAGAACAGACGACGTACTTGACGGAAAGTAATCCCAGCCGCCCATAGACATATGCCACATAACGAATGTTGAGTATGCGTTGCCGATATTGATTGTTGTGGAAGAAGGAGAGAATGAAAATAAGGAGATGGCAGGAAAGGGAACAGTGAAAGGGCAACCGGCTCTCTTACATCGGACGAAACGCAAACCTTAAATACTAATTCACGCCGATCTTCTGTGAGAGGGTGGTACTGCCCCCGGTCGAGCCAGCCCATGTTCGAGCTGTAGTAACTTGAACACAGCTAGGCTCTACCACCTAATCTGTATATATAAAAGTGAATTGCTGTTCCTTGGTCTCACTAAACCTCGAGAACGACTGAACGGATTTATCTTATCATAGTTTTGAAATGTTCGTGGAGGTTCAGGGAAGGTTTAAAAGCTGAATTTTTTTTATTAATTTCCTGGAAAACCCTTAAAACAGCGCTTTTTTTATTTCCCATACAAACGGTTTTTTGACATTAGATTTGACAACTAACTAATATGTCAATCATTTTGTCGCACTTCAGAACACGGAGATTTATGGCTTAAAGGTAAACACCAAAACAATAAATAAGACATAATTTCTTTCTTGATTAAGGCAGTACGAAGTCTGCCGGGTCAGCTAGTCTAAAAATATAACCAAATAATTCTCAATATTAGGTTTTATTAAGCCGCCTATCAAATTCATCATAAAGATAATTTTCATAACATCATTGACCTGGTCATATACAAGTGGTAGCGGATTGGAATCCTCCTTGAAATTTTCATTTGTATTTTCTATATGAATTTCTATACTTGCTGTATATATTTAAAGTTGTCCTATCCAATAACTTTATGTCATGTTCCAGGCTCTAATATGGCGAGATGGACCGGCTGGTTTCGAGCCTTACGTTCGCGTGTCCTGGTTTCCTCTACGTCTCGGAGCATTATTGGCGCTCGTGTCTGTGTCCTTGGTGTTAGCCAGCGCTCTTACATTGGTCAGTATATAGATATATTATACATACATATGTATTTAGTAAAAATCATTATAATATGTTGGTTTGCTTGAGTTATGTATCTAGTTCCCATTTAATGATGACATATCGCCATCTGTTATCATAAAATAGTTTTATGAAACATATTTGATTATAAACTATATTATTAATTATCTAAACTAATATTATAAAGAAGTAATATTTTATTGTTTGTTTGTTTGTTACGAATAGGCTCAAAAACTACTGGACCGATTTTAAAAATTCTTTCACCATTATAATTGTACATCTTTCCAAAGTAACATAGGCTATATTTTATTTTGAAAAAATTAGGGATCTTTGCGAAAACTTCGATAACATAAACCACGGTCGATAAAAATCACTATTGAAACACCTTAAATCGCGTGCGCTGCAATAACTATTGATGATGGAGCAAAATAATGTACTACGATTTTGTTGACCGCATTATTATCTACAGAAAAGTTCGCGGTAGTGTATATCTAAGTATTATAGTTACGCCAATATAAAAACTTTTATAGTTTAACAAACTATTTAAATCGGCAACGAAAATAAGATGTCGATATTCATACCATGGTATTTATACTTATCTAAATAACTTACTTTTTATTTAACAGTAGTTCAATACCTTTATATTGCTGTTTAAATTATTTTAATCGGATACTCCATTCAAAAGATATAGCGAGTTTTAAAATTTGGGTAACTTAAAAATTAACTAAGCGTTTTGCTGCATCGCGTCGCGATGTTGATTGTGCGTAGTGATAAATAACTCCGAAACAAAACCAACTCGCTCTCTGCGCTGGCCGGCGCGGCGGGAGAGAGGCGGTGCTTGCGGGCAAGCCGAGAGGGGGGTGTAGCTCCGCGAGATACCATGCCGCGCGGCTCATTCCCGCGGTCGGCTCCATACTGAACGGTTGAATGCAGCGCTAATTTGTTTATGCGATATAATTATCATCGTAATATTACTTTTTAAACACAGTTTCATTTTGTAGTTGTTTTCTATATAGTAGGTACTTTATTTGTTTTACGATAGTATTTAGTTTCACAATAATAACACTTTTTTTTAGTATATGCAGAAGTTCTTTAAAATAATTAAATTTACTGTAAAAATTGTACAGATATAGTTTGGAACTCGAAAAAAAAAACATAGGTTTTATCCTGAAAATTCTGCGGGAACCCGACCATTCCGAAAATCCCGCAAGAACGGGAACTATGTGGGAAGAACAAAAAATCTGCTGCAAGTCACTATTCCACGACGAAGTCGCTGGCAAAAGCTATTATATATATATTTAAACTAACTGTAAAGTTTATTGCCTTATGCTCTTACGTTTTATCAATACACTTCAAATACAGTGTTGTTGAAGTTATTTAATGTGTTTGAGGTGAGATCTAAGATTTTCACCTCTGGTCATTTACTCGTAAATGAAACTAAATTTAGGTTTAGGTTTACAGAAACTAAATTTATTGGAAACTACGCGTTTTTTAATATTTCATAATTACTTGATCCTGACGTTTTGGTTTTACAGCAACAAAACGTTCTTTTCTTTTGCGGTATTTTTTAGATATTAAATAAAAAAAAACAGGTAGTATCCGAGAAATCTAGTTTTATTTAAATGTATGAAGTCATTTATTGATATTCGTATATTCTTCTAAAGAATTACTGTGACGGCTTTTTGTTATTTGTATCACTATAAAAAGGTTTGTCCGTTTATGAACTTTATTTAAAATAATAAATACATATGTCTTATTATAATAAAATCATTATTTTTCAGGTTATACCAGTAGCCATTGGTAGAAAAGTTATGACAATCTGGCTACCAAAGGCATCAGAGGGAGTTCACGAGCTATACACCGCCGCGTGCGGTATGATTATTTTAATTTTTTAATTTTGAATCGAATATCTTATTTTAGCTAGCAATATACAATTAATTTTAATACTACAAAGTTACTAAATAACTTCTAATACTTAACATATTATATAAATGTTATATTCAATTATGTACAACTACCCTAATTTTCTCAATATCTTCTGTATTTTATCTGTTTTTATTCTAAACAGGTATGTATGTGTGTTGGGCGGTTGGTCGAGGTGGTGCGCTAGCCGCTGGGTGGGCTCGAGGCGGTCGTGCGGCACTACTGGCTCGTGCGGCACTATGGACCAGGCGGGCGGCACGAGCGGCACTAGCGGCACTCGCGCTGCTGGGATTAGTGCCGCTCATGTTCGGACTGCTTCTAGAACTGGTTTGTATATAGACTTACAATTAAAATATTTATACATATACATACATAGGTATAGGTAAGTCAGTGGTGGCCTAGTGGTTAAAAGAACCGCCTCTCATATACGAGGGCGCGGGATCGATCCAGGCCCGGGTGAGTACCAATGTGATTTTTCCGAGTCATATGTACTTTTCTATTATATATTCTTAATGCATTCCCAAGGAGGGTTGATGTCGGGCAGGCAGCCGATCGTAAAAACAATAAGCCTAAACTATTCACAACAATTTATGGCAGACCCTGGCTTAAGTTTGGAAAATTGCCAGGTAGAAGAGAGATATAGGGTATAGGTATAACAGAGGAAGATTTATATGAATATTTTTTTTTTCATGCAAGATTTTTATATTATTGCTATTAAATTTGTGCTGTAAAATGTATTGTAAAAGTGCATTCTGATTAAAAAAAGAACATATGGAAGACCTTCAGACCTAAATATTATTAATATTCACTGATCTAGTTTGTCTATATTTATTTGAATAGTAAAAAATAACATATATATTTCAGGTCCTAGTAATTCCTCTCAGGGTTCCCTTGGAGCAGTCTCCGGTACTGTTTGTATGGCAGGACTGGGCTCTTGGTGTTCTGTACACTAAGATAGTCTGTGCTCTCACTATGATGGGACCCGATTGGAGTATGAGACGAGCTATTGAGAAAGCTTATAGAGACGGCATCAGAGAAATGGATTTGCAGTGAGATTATATATAATGTTTTAATATGCTTAGCCCGAATCAGTATTGATTAAATATAAGTATTTATGTTACATCACTTAATTAAGTATTTCTAATTTTTTTATATTTAAAAATTTCATTTTTCTCTTCACGATTTCTATAAAATGGAACAATAAATCACTCACCTTGAAGAAAATATTGCTATATTTTTATGTTTATATTTTAATTTTTAAATATGTAAAATTTTATGAATATTTGCCTTTTTTGTTTATGACAATTTTTAGAAAAGTAAACAGAATATTCTTTAATTTGAGAATGTTTTAGTTACCTTTATTGTTGTTTCAGACCCTTTTATTAATAAAAAATATATTAAATTTAATAGATTTATCCTGCGCTCGGTTGCCGCGCCACTGGTCCGCTGGCTGGGTCTCGCGTTGGCTGTACCGTACGTGCTCGCACACAGTGTGGCGCCACTTGTACTGAGTGCGCACGCGCAGAGGAACCTGCTGGTGCGCCGGGTGTACCCCGCCCTGTTACTCATAGCATTGCTGGCTGCACTCGCCCTCTTCCAGGTCAGTGTGAATTATATATTTTAGTTAGTATGGATACAGTAGGTATAACAAGTTTTGTACTACATGTGAAGTGTTTCCACATTTCATTTATAAACTTACGTTGATATATGTGCAAAAATTTATGAATACAAAAAATCTGGTAATGGTTTGATTTATTATATGTATATCTTTTTGTAAAGGTATTATCGTTGTTATGTATAGAATATTTCGTATGTGTGTGTTTGTTTAAGTCAGTCAGTCAAGCCAGTTCAAGTCATTGTTGTGTTTTACGTTTATTAGTAATCGTTTTCATGTTGTATTTTTTAATGGTTGCTTAAAATGTGTGTGCGTGCGTGTGGTTGAGTGAGTATAAAAGGCATCTCTATGTGTGCGTGTAGTATTACTGTAGGTGTTTAGGATTGTGTATATTGATATAAAAACTATAATGGTGACATTCTATCTTTCAATATCTATTCTTTTTTCCAGATTCGTCAATTCACAAAACTGTACGAGCACATAAAGAACGACAAATACCTGGTGGGCCAGCGGCTCGTGAACTATGATCACCGGCGACACAAACACACGGTCACCTCCAACTGAAATATATTAAGGGATAGCTGCTTATGATATTTCGTTTTATGTGAAATAAAGCAATATTAAATATTGTTCTCTTAGGTCTTGTCATTTACTCGATGTGATAATTAAAACTTGATTTCTATTTACTTAAAGTAAGCTATAGATATATATATTTTGTGTACATCATACATGTTGATACAAAGACGTTATCATTATGATTATTCTGGTGAAATTTTAAGTACATTTTAATCTTATCTTAAATAAAAATTTATGTTTTTATCGAAAGGGAATCGAACTGTCTTGTTTCATAATAATTTTCTTTGTTACAATGCAAGTACCTCGTTTAAAAAGAAATACAATTCATAAAAAAAATCTTTCACTTGAATATTTATAATGATCACGTTGTTATAATATTTCTTCAATTTTCGAAACACATAATTTCAAATATTCTCAACAGTCAGCTATAGTTCGAAGTTTTATAAATTGAAATTATTTTGGAGTTTGATTTTTTATTATTTATAAAGACGTAAAGTGAGATCATAATATCGATTGCGTTGTTCATCACTTATTTTTCTTACAGCATCCGAATTCACACGATTTTTTTTGTTGTTTTATTGTATAAGTTCTATGTAAAATATGTTAATTTTTTTTATAGTATAAAATTAAGTATTGGTTGTTTTAAATAAATATTGAAAACTTTTCAGTGAACAGTTGCATCTTATCAACCTTTTAAAATGACAAAGCGGGAGGATCTTTAGTTTTTTAACATCGAATATCCAGTGGCTTAACCAAAAATAAAGAAAAAAGAGGTTTGCTCTAAACTATTTGTTGAATAATTGTGGGGGATTTGAAAAACTATTTAAGTAGTAGGCTTAGGATTTGATATATTTATTCTAAAGTTATGTTCTGATAATATTTTCTTCATTTTCAAAAGACATTTTGCTATATGATGCAAAAAAATATAATAAGAGCCACTTCAACAAACGGTTCATATATAATAATTAAATTTCAATGCATCCTTATTTCGTTTTTATTAGGGCTATGTAATATTCGCTTACGTATTTGTATAAATGATTAAATGTTTATATGGATGTTGGATTACCTACTTAAATATATTATGTATAGAGTCCATATTCGAGTAGCGACGCGGGAAAATTGTTAGTTAAATGAGTTAGGTATTATAATTGGTTTAATATATATAGTATTAGAGTTAATAAAATATAGTTTTTATAAGTATGTAGTCATTTAACTTATTTATTACACCCTGCTCAATATATATTTTAATTTTGGCTTTGTCTGTAAATTTCTTTTTAGTAATTTTGTTTGATGTATACAGTTTTGTTATATATATTTTTCATATTAAATCTATGTTTTAAAGGATGTGTGAAGCGTATAGTAATGTAAATTTTAATAAAATTGTAAATGCAATGCCTGGGGCTGAATAATTACGATGCGGATAGTTTAGTTAGAAGGAGAAATTAATGAACGATTTAATAAAAGAAACAAATAAAAGTATTTGTTTCATTTTAACTTATACTAACGAGATTTCTTTAATAACGCAAAAACATGAGTATGTCATAAAGCATATGACGTCAGAAGCAAGTACGGTCTTGATTTTGTATGTAGCCTGCATCAAAAATACTTGGTAAGTTTTATAGTTGCTTTATTATAGTGAAGTTTGATGCAACTTCAATTACTTAGAATGACAATAGTCGTATCCAGAGGTAACGATTTACCTAATTCTTACCTATTCTTAATTACAGATAATTAAAACCGAAGTCATAATTCCAGTGTACATTGCGTTATAGTATGATGTTAAGGTACAATTCTGCAATGAAATTTGAATACGAAAATGTAAGGCGCACATTTATGTTATGGGCAAGTATTAAAATAACTGTTGAAAAATAAGGTTATAAATAAGTCATTTTTTATTGTTTGCCTAGGTGTGTGATATTTTCTTTCGCATTTCATAATACTAACTTGAAAATTACTTATCATCGTATCAATCAATAAAGCAATTCTCTAAATGAGATCTTAGATTTTCGCGAGTTTCGTTGAAATAAAAATAATATTTTTCGGGTTTACTGCCTATGCGTTTATTATTTTAACAACATACTTCCGACGATCCCATTACTGCAGTGACCATGGGCAGATGAGATGTGATCATCAAATAATTATTAATCCGTATTAAATCCGAAAAATATCAGCTTTATTTCAATGCATTAAACTTTGAAATTTCATTAAATAGAACCGGTTCATATTAAAAATATTTATGTTTCTTGCATTAAAAATGTATATAGATATGTAAAGCTTGTTCAGACGACTGTATTAAATATAAAACATTGCTAATTATAATTTACCTTGCTTTTTTTATTCTAAGTATTTAATGTGAATATTTAGAGAAAAATAATTTTAAGTTGTATATCAACCTTGTACTTTGCACTATATCAATATATTAATATATATGTTAATAAAGTTTTCCTTAACTTAATTAACATTTTAAATGGGATGTAGTTTTATAACTGTAATAACTGGTATAAAAATATGTACACATTTTTTGACGACTTGTATGTAGTAATATTGTAGTTTCTATGGAGAATTTTGTTTTGATACTATTCACAATTCTTGTTCTCTTGTTCTATATAATCTTTAGAACTGCTAAACAAATTTCGATGATCCATTTATCAGATAATTTCATTCGGTTTCCTAACCTTTACAAATTTAGACAGGAATAAACTATTTCATGTTTTAAATAATACCTAAATTTGCAATAGACATTACCCATCAACTCTTAAAATATTTAAATAGTAATTTCACAAATATGAAGACATTTTTATTCACATACTAGTAAACCTGGCGAACTCCGTTTCGCCACCAGAAGGCTTTTATATAACATTTCGTTTGGTGATTAAAAGATGAAGAATTTTTTTGATTTATATTTGAAAAAGAAATTTTTTATTTCATTTCACAACAGTAATGAATTCATTTCGATTACAAAAATGAAGTGTTATTTAGTTGAACTTCTCTAAGCAAATGAAAGTGAATCCAAAGTAGATACCGAATAGAAGCGTAATACGTGTCCGCAAATTATCCGTTTCATTGAAGTGCTCCTTTGTAAACCACATTTTTTGTTTTTTGGTCTAACTTTAACATAAATAAAGCGTATAGTTTCCAAACTCGTGAACACGCAAAATATAACTGACCATGTGAAAAACAATGATTTTCTAAATTTATCCCGCAAATACTAAATGGTTTTAAGAGTTCAAACTACAAACACAATACCTAAATATTTTTATTTTTATATAGTAGATTTCTTACAAATATCTAATTGTCATCCATACGTCATTACATATCTGTCATTATACGTTAATTGCATAGCTGTCAATTGTGTTATTCCACGTTTTATAATGACGTTTCATGTCAAGTCCCACGGGAATGCTGTCGAACGGGATAAAAAGTATCCTATTGCAATTTCCTGGCTCTAAACTACCTCCCTGCCAATTTTCAGCTAAATCGGTTCAGCCGTTCTTGGGTTATAAGTGCAGTCACTAACACGACTTTCTTTTATATATATAGATGATAGTATCAACACAAGTCTATGAATGTAAAACACACACACTAACACATATACAGGGTGACTGGTGAATTACAATCGATATTTGAGGACGTGATATTTGACGATCATATATGACACAATAAAAATTAATATAACATAAATATTAATAAACTTCTAAGTAAAGTTAACCAAAAGTTATGTAATTAATTACGCATCGTATGAACACCCTACAGATTAGGTATACACACACACACACACGCGCGCGCATCGGCGTGTTGTTGTATCAGCACGCCGCCGCACGCGTCCACACTTGGAACACTTGTAACGTGTACACACTTTATTTATTTATACGGAAATTTGGTCAAAAATTAAGTACTTATTTTTTTTACATAATTCGAATGAGAATCATGTACCGAGTATGCTCCTTAAATATTGATAGTAATTCACCAGTCACCCTGTATAGTTTGAAAAAAACTTGTTTTAATAAATATAGGTATAATTTTCTTTTTTTCTATTTCCAGGAAATGATTCATCTCTCAGTGTGGTCTCACATACGTCGTCTTGTTGTATCCGCTATGGTTTTCGGCACGGCCGTACTATTCATGTTATGGCTTCCTATACGTGTAATCAAATACGTTCTACCCGGCTTCTTGCCTTACGCGGTTGCTGTACACACCGATGCACCGGTCAATGAACTCAGTTTGGAGCTTTTATTGCTACAGGTGCGGTATATAAATTATACTAGTTTATGCCCTGACTTAGTATGCATATCATTCTTTATTTGGTTCAAAAGAAATTTATAATGAATGCTCAAATAGAATAGATATATATATTAACCAACTGGCTCCATCTATTGTCTGTGATGTGATTTCATGAAAAAAACTATTTTATAAACGAAATTTTTCAGTGACCAATATTTTATTCATCAAAATAAGTGTCTAAGGTGTATCTAAGTTTCGTTAAAATAAATTAAAGCCCCTATTTAGACTCAATATGTAGGATACTCATAAACTCTCCTATTTATAATATTGGTATAAATGCATACTAGAAATCAAAAGTACTCATAGTAATCTAACATAATTTTTAATTAAATTCTAAAATACGAGGCTATCTTATCGCGTAATAACGGTCTGCTTCAGACAATTGCACTCATAAGATGTTAAAACAACAGATATTCAGAGAGATACATGAAATGAAATGCATTGAGATATATTTCTATAAATTTACCTGTACAGTGCGGAGTAAAAAGAGAATAAACCGGTTAAAAACTAGAAAAGGACGTGGCATTCAAAAATTTTACATCTCTCCTACACTATCCGTGTACACTCACACAAATGAAAAGATCAGCTTAAGTCTAACGGACTATACCTTTAACAGTAGGTTTATGAATATATTACAAAACTTAAAATGTAATTATACATTATAAAAATAATAGTGATCAACTTCGAATGTTATACTATTGTAATAACTATTATCATTATTGTTATTAATAATATTTTCGCAGGTGATCCTACCGGCTTTACTGGAGCAGTCTCACACCAGGACATGGTTGAAGGCCGGTCTACGCGCGTGGTGCGGCTGAGCTGCCGGCCTGCTAGGACTCCGCTCTTACTTACTGGACGAGGCGTCGAGAGAGAATGAGCCTCACCCACCACCACACCTACCACATCAGTTAGGAGCCGCTCATAGGGTAATTATTTAGTTTTTTTTGTATGTGAAAATTGGCAAGAGAACAGACGGCCTACTTGATGGATGATAGTCACCGTCGCTTATAAACATCTGCTATATAAGACGTGTTGCGGATGCGTTTCCGATATTGATTGTTGTGGAAGAAGGAAAGAGTTGGAATAGTGAAAGGGCAACCGGCTCTCTTACATCGGACGAAACGAAAACCTTAAATACTAATTCACGCTGAGAATGAGAATGTGGTACTGCCCTGGTTGAACCAGCCTATGTTCGAGTTGTTACCTGAACACAGCTAGACTTTACCAACTAATATCTAAAAATATAAGCAAATAATTCTCAACATTAGATTTCATTAAGCTGCCCATCAAATTCATCATAAAGATAATTTTCATAACATCAGTGACCTGGTCATATACAGGTGGTAGCGGATTGGAATCTTTCTTGAAATTTCCACTTGTATTTTCTATATGAATTTCTATACATGCTGTATATATTTAAAGTTGTCCAATCTAATAACTATATGTGTATTGTTCCAGGCTCTAATATGGAGAGACGGACCGGCTGGTTTCGAGCCTTACGTTCACGTGTCTTGGTTCGTCTTTCCTCTACGTCTGGGAGCGTTATTGGCGCTCGTGTCTGTGTCCTTGGTGTTAGCCAGCGCTCTTACATTGGTCAGTATAATATATCTTTATCTTTATACATATATATAATTCTTCTGTGAGTGTGTATGTCACTGAACTTCTCTCAAACGACTGGACCGCTTTTGATGAAATTTTTCGTGTGTGTTCAAGGGGATCTGGGAATGGTTTAGATTCACAATTTTGTCCGCTGGACAATGGTTGTTGATATAAACGTTTTTTTTGACATTACATTTCACAACTAACTAATATGTCAATCATTCTGTCGTATTTCAAAACACAGACATTGATGGCTTCAATAGGTAAACTCCAAAAATATAAATAAAAAATGTAACAGATATTTCTTGATTATAGGGCGATACGAAGTTCGCCGGGTCTAAATAAAATAGTAGAAATAGTTCCCTGTTGGTCTGCTTGAGCCATGTATTTAGTTCTCATTTAACGATAACAGATAGCATATAATACTTTTATGAAACATATTTGTTATTAATGTAGGTACTTAAACTTATAGTTTCTCATTACACTTCAAATACATTTTGTTGAATTTATTTAATGTGTATGAGGTGCGATCTAAGATTTTCACCTGTACTTATTGAAATGAAACTTAATTTTTCGAATACTACGCGTTTCCCCGACGGTTTGGTTTCCAGTAACAAAACGTTCTATGCCTTTAGTGTATTATTTAGTAATGAAATAATAAAAAACAAGTGTTATCCGAGAATTCTAGTTTCATATAAATGTATGAAGTCTTTTATTGATATTCGTGTATTCTTCTAAAGAATTACTGTGACTGCTTTTTGTTATTTGTATCACTTTAGAAAGGTTTGTCCGTTTATGAATTTTATTTAAAATTATTTATTACGTGTTTATTATGTGATATTAAATAATTAAATCTTTACTTTTCAGGTTATACCGGTAGCCATTGGTAGAAAAGTAATGACAATCTGGCTACCAAAGGCATCAGAGGGAGTTCACGAGCTATACACTGCCGCGTGCGGTATGATTGTTTTATTATTATTATTTTTTTAACCGAATAACTTAATTGATAGTTATATTCAATTAATTTTAATACATACTACAAAGTTACTAAACAACTTCTAATATTACACCGAACATCTTTATATATATAATTCTTCTGTGAGTGTGTATTTCACTGAACTTCTCTTAAACGACTGGACCGATTTTGATGAATTTTTTTGTGTGTGTTCAAGGGGATCTGCGAATGGTTAAGTTTCACAATTTTGTCCGCTGGACAATGTTTTTTTAATGAATTTTTAAATTATTAATAGTTGTTAATACAAACAAAAGTTCGCCGGGTCTTCTAGTATATTTATAAATGTTTTATTCAATTATGTACAACTACCCTAACTTCCTCAATATCTCCCGTATTTGAACTGTTTTTATTCCAACCAGGTATGTATGTGTGTTGGGCGGTTGGTCGCGGTGGTGCGTTGGCCGCTGGGTGGGCTTGAGGTGGTCGTGCTGCACTACTGGCTCGTGCGGCACTATGGACCAGGCGGGCGTCACGCTCGGCACTAGCGGCACTGGCGCTGCTGGGATTAGTGCCGCTCATGTTCGGACTGCTGCTGGAACTGGTTGGTTTATAGACTCACAATAAAACTATTTATACATATACATAGCTATACATATATCTGAGGAAGATTTCTATGTGCCGATTGATTGTTTTTGCAATATTTTATTGCTATTAAAGGAGATCATTCTTTTTGGGCCTTTTTTAAAAGTGCCGGCCAACAAAAAAAAAAAATGGTACATATTTGTAGAACTAACCATTTGGAACAATAGTTAATATGGCGCAAAAGTTGTAGGATCCAAGATATAGAAGTTATACAAGTTTCAAGATTCATCATTTTGGTACTTTATTTTTTTCTGAAAGTGCCAGGAAACATAAAATAATGATTGATATTGCTAGAGTTAAGATTCTCAAGCAAATCATAGCCATAATCTGTTAGAAACCTGTCGTTTTTATGTAATACTAGCGAACCCGACAGACGTTGTTCCGCCAAGTATCTAAACGCATGCAACACATTTCTTGATGATTTTATTATTTGTCTAACCTAATATGTATATCGGGGTGCCATTTTTATATATTAAAAAAATGGGCCTAGAAGCACTTTTAACTGATTTTGTACCATTTCATGTCGGATTTGATCATATGACGCGAGAGCAAGTGGCGCAGAGCATGTACATAACCGCATGACTCCAGATTTTCTATAGCATCTCTAAAACCACGGTCTAATATAAAAATGTCACCAGGCCGGTAAAACCAGTGCAATACGTTATTCAGTGCATCATTTAAAATCTGGGCATCGGAGGTTGTTGCAGCGATGGGCCATCTACCGCTATTATGGTTCCATTGCAACAAATATTTAAAAAAGGCTTTAAAAGATTTCGAAAGTTATGGTTGCTATAAGATTTTCTTTGAAAAAAGAAATTAGTGCTCTTCCGTAAATATATGTAAGTGCCATCAACAGTGGCGGCTGGTGGGTTATCGAACTGGTGGTGCACTTTACTAAAATATTAAAAATAGAAAATGCAACCACACAACAATTGACAATAAATATGTTTATTTTTGTGAACCAAAATGTTCAATCACCTTTTTATTAAAATCGGATATTGTTTGTATAATTATAATTAAAAAAAATATTTTTTTCAATACTACGCACAGAAAGTACATTTAGCAAGTGCATGGTATTTCGGAGAAAAGTTTTGATTCTTTTCAGTTCCAATTCGTCATACATCGGGTGCTCTCGGTAATCTTCGGTCGCTCGTGCGGCGCTCGAGAACCGACTCGTTACTCGGTACATTTCTATGAACAATCTTTTGTCTCACGCGTCAGGCGTATTAATTCGTATCTCATACAAGATGTATTAGCAGTCCTCGTGCACTCGCCGAAGCGCACGAGATATTAGTTTAGTAAAGCGCTCAAACTTTTTGACCATAATTGGAAATTTTGTTTTTATACGTTTTTGTATGTTTAGAAAATAAATATTAAAATGGTAATTTAAAAATAAAGATGAAGTAATATTTTGTAATTTTTAAATCTTTTGAATTGGTGGTTCAGCGCACGAGTGCACTTAAGGTACAGCCGCCACTGGCCATCAAGTATAGAGATGGCCTTTCTTTCTTCAATCGGACTATCAGGATTACCAAATTATCGCTCTGGCACAATGAGGTTCCTCTGCGCCACTTGCTCTCGCGTCATATGATCAAATCCGACATGAAATGGTACAAAATCAGTTAAAAGTGCTTCTAGGCACATTTTTTTAATATATAAAAATGGCACCCCGATATACATATTAGGTTAGACAAATAATAAAATCATCAAGAAATGTGTTGCATGCGTTTAGATACTTGGCGGAACAACGTCTGTCGGGTTCGCTAGTATTACATAAAAACGACAGGTTTCTAACAGATTATGGCTATGATTTGCTTGAGAATCTTAACTCTAGCAATATCAATCATTATTTTATGTTTCTTGGCACTTTCAGAAAAAAATAAAGTACCAAAATGATGAATCTTGAAACTTGTATAACTTCTATATCTTGGATCCTACAACTTTTGCGCCATATTAACTATTGTTCCAAATGGTTAGTTCTACAAATATGTACCATTTTTTTTTGTTGGCCGGCACTTTCAAAAAAGGCCCAAAAATGTATGAAGCCTGAATGATCTCCTTTGTTAGTATATGGAACAAGTGATTTGTGATTATAAAAATAAAGTATGGAAGTCTTTCAGACTTCAATATTATTAATATTCACTTATCTAGTTTGTCTATATTTATTACAGTAATACAAATAATAATAATATAATAACTACTATATTTCAGGCCCCAGTGATTCCTCTCAGGGTTCCCTTGGAGCAGTCTCCGGTACTGTTTGTATTGCAGGACTGGGCTCTTGGTGTTCTGTACACTAAGATAGTCTGCGCTCTCATAATGATGGGATCCGATTGGAGTTTGAGACGGGCCATTGAGAAAGCTTATAGAGACGGCATTAGAGAAATGGATTTGCAGTGAGATTATATACAATGTATTTTAAGATAAGCTTAAGACATGTTAATTTTTAATGTTTTTTGAATATGTAATAAGTTTTTAACATCATTATAACTATATATATTATGCATAACTATAAATCACTCTTTCAAGAAAAGATTGCTATAGTTTTATGTTTAGATTAATTTAAAATTTAAAACTATTTTTTATTCTTATTATGATTTTAAAACGAAATGGAATTTTTTAAATTAACAGCAAATGAGAATGTTTTATTTTAGATACCTCAAATTTTGGTTTTAGTCCTCTTATTAATTTAATATTATCAAAATTTGATACAATAAAATTATATATTCAATTTAATAGATTTATCCTGCGGTCGGTTGCCGCGCCACTGGTCCGTTGGCTGGGTCTCGCGTTGGTTGTACCGTACGTGCTCGCACACAGTGTGGCGCCACTTGTACTGAGTGCTCACGCGCAGAGGAACCTGCTGGTGCGCCGGGTGTACCCCGCCCTGTTACTCATAGCATTACTGGCTGCGCTCGCCCTCTTCCAGGTCAGTGTGAATTATATATGTCTTAGTATGTATACAGTAGGTACAACAAGTTTTGTACTACATGTGAAGTGTTTCCCACATTTCATTTATAAACTTACGTTGATACATGTGCAAAAAATTATGAATAAAAAAATCTGGAAATGGTTTGATTTAGTCAGATGTATATTTTTTGTGAAGGTATTATTCTCTTTACGTGTAAAAGGTTTACGTATTTGTGTGTTTTATGTCAATGTATGTATTTTACGTTTTTGAGCGATTGTTTAAATGTTGTATTGTTTGTAATGGATGCTCTCAATATGTATGTGTGTGTAGTATGTGTGGTTGAGTGAGTATAAAAGGTATCTGTATGTGTGAGTGTTAATCTGTTATGTGAAATTATAATCGTGACATTCTATCTTTCAATATATATTCACCTTTAAAGATATCTATTATTTTTCCAGATTCGTCAATTCACAAAACTGTACGAGCACATAAAGAACGACAAATACCTGGTGGGTCAGCGACTCGTGAACTATGATCACCGGCGACACAAACACACGGTCACCTCCAACTGTTGAATAATTGTGGGGGATTTGAAAAACTATTTAAGTAGTAGGCTTAGGATTTGATATATTTATTCCAAGTTATGTTCTGATAATATTTTCTTCCTTTTCAAAAGACATTTTGCTATATGATGCAAAAAAAATATAATAAGAGCCACTTCAACAAACGGTTCATATATAATAATAAAATTTCAATGCATCCTTATTTCGTTTTTATTAGGGCTATGTAATATTCGCTTACGTATTTGTATAAATGATTAAATGTTTATATGGATGTTGGATTACCCACTTAAATATATTATGTATAGAGTCCATATTCGAGTAGCGACGCGGGAAAATTGTTAGTTAAATGAGTTAGGTATGATAATTGGTTTAATATATATAGTATTAGAGTTAATAAAAGATAGTTTTTATAAGTATGTAGTCATTTAACTTATTTATTACACCCTGCTCAATATATATTTTAATTTTGGCTTTGTCTGTAAAATTCTTTTTAGTTATTTTGTTTGATGTATACAGTTTTGTTATATATATTTTTCATAATAAATCTTATATGTTTTAAAGGATGTGTGACGCGTATAGCAATGTAAATTTTAATAAAATTGTAAATGCAATGCCTGGGGCTGAATAATTACGATGCGGATAGTTTAGTTAGAAGGAGAAATTAATTAACGATTTAATAAAAGAAACAAATAAAAGTATTTGTTTCATTTACTTATACTAACGAGACATAAAACATGTGATGTCACAAGCAACGATGGCCTTGATTTTGTATGAAGTCTGTATCAAAGACATTAGGTAAGTTTTATAGTGTCGATATAAGCAACTTGACTTCAAATAACAATACTCTTCAAATACACAGCGATATAACTAATTCTTACTTCCTAAACTGGTAATTATACCCGAGTCATATTTACAGTGTACATTGCCTTATAGTATGATGTCAATGTACAATTCTGCAATGAAATTTGAAAACAATAATGTAGGTTTGGTTGCCATTTAGTGTTGTAACTTCGGATTTGTTAGATGAGGCGTTATATTTTTATGGCAAGGAATCGTGACAATTAAATTTCAGCTTATAATGTCCAAAGACCACTTTATGGACAATATTTGAATATCTCCGCTAGTAAACTTACAACTAGAGAGAGGAATTGAAGCGCACATTTTTGGTATTGGCAAGTATTAAAATAACTTGTCTACAAAATGGTTAACCTGTTGAAAAATAAGATTATAAAGAAGTCATTTTTTATTGTGATCCTTACAAATGTTGTTTGCCTAGGTGTGTAATGTTTTCTTTCGCACTTCATAATACTAACTTGAAAATTACTTAGTATCAATCAATAAATCAATGCTCTAAATGAGATCTAAGATTTTCGGGAGTTTCATTGACATAAAAAGAATATTTTTCGGCTTTACTATGCGTTTATTATTTTAACAACATACTTCGGACGTTACCGTTACTGTGACCATGGGCAAATGAGATGTGATCATCAAATAATTATTAATCCGTATTAAACTTTGAAATTTCATTAAACTGGACCGGTTTATATTAAAAGTATTTGTTTCGTACATCAAAAAATTTATATACATATGTAAAGTGTTTTTCAGACTACTGTATTAAATATAAAACCGGCGTCAAGTAATTAAATTTAAATAAAAAATATAGAGAGAAAAATTCATCAACACGAACAAGATTCGTACCAGCAACCTAGAGCTACTGTCGATGAATTTTTCATTGTATACTTTCTAATTTAAAAACTAATATTAGTTCAACATTTAGTGTAAAAAACATTTTTCTGCGAACTATTTACACACTAACAGGAAAAACAAGTTTATGAATACTTGATGAGTTTGACAGCTTGTTTAATGGATTGAATCGTATAGGCTTTTTATGATTTTTCCTGAATTCACATCTATAACGAGGACAAGGGCTATAAGCTGTTATAAAGATGGGAAGTTTATATTTTATAATGAGAATGAAGAAATTAAGAATATCTTTTAAATGGCTCACCTGCTGACCTTATACTCCTGTGTTATGCCTCCTTTGGATTTATAAATGGATCGGCATTTATTTTTGCTATGAATGTATATTTAAGTGAGCCAGCCAGAGGTACCAGGAATGCAGTAAAACTGAAATGTGAATTATAATAAGAAACTAAATACATATTAAAACTTACAATCTATACCTAAGACTACATGATTGCTCTGATGTTGTGGTAGTAATGCCATCTCATCCCTGTGAGTATCAGTAATCGTCTGGTTCATCATATTTTATCTATACAACGGTGTTTCCCCGGCGATATTTGATGTTTTATTTTATATTTCATGTACGTAAAAGTTCTATTATTATTGATCGCTTTGTTTGTCAAATTTGTTCATGAGTTTTTGCTTTAATATACATCCCTACTAATATTGTAAATGCGAAAGTAACTCTGTCTATCTGTCTGTCTGTCTGTTATACTTTCACGTCTAAACCACTGAACTGATTTTAATGAAATTGGTACAGAGATAGAGTTGACCTTGAGAAAGAACGTTTGAAAAGTTCTCTTGGAAACGCGATAAAACCGAACTAGACGCGGGCGAGGCCGCGGGCGGAAAGCTAGTACTTTATACGTATAAGCACAAGATGATTGTAGGTATTATTTCAATTCCAACGTTTTTCGTCCACCGGTAGTACAATATAAGATTGTTTATATGTCGAGTAATTGTGTATTTTAAATGATGTTTCTCTTAGGTTATAATCGTTACCCGTAACTCTCTTGAAATAGACTAGATCGATTATAGAGAGTAGAGATTAATTAGATAATATTACTCGATACAGTTATTATTACTGATGCTGTAGCGATTTGTGACTGGCGCTGTCTAGCCATTTAACACTTCGATTAATTATTATTAATGATGTAATCGGGAAACAAAACATAGGATAAAAAATTGCCAAATGTTTGATCGGTCTTCAAGTGTTGTTTTGTATCTTCTCATCGCTTTGAGAGCAACAAGTTCGACTTCCACTTGACTCGATCAGTGATAGTGAAGCTTGTCGATTTTAACCACTTTTTGCAAAATTTGTAGCATATTGGAGGAAATATTTTATATACAATAATTATAATAATAATTTATGATATTTTAATGTCATTCATAAATTTTGTTTCCATTTATACAAAGTTGTATAATAATAATAGTTATTTTAAATGTAATTATTAAAAGCGTTAGAAAATTTAATATAAAATATCTGTTATTTACGATAATATATTTCTTTCTATTTTTATCATCCAATAATTATGTTTTTTTATAAAAATAGATCAAACACAAATTTTATGTAGTTTCAATAGGAAATGGTGGCACATTTTAAAGAACGAATTTTGTTTAATATGTAGCGATGAAAATAATTTAAAAGTTGTTCGATCCTCATTGTGCTAGTTAGTATACTTTTCTAACGTAAAACAGAGCATTTTATAAACTTAACACCTGTCAGGCTTATTTTATTAAATAAGAGTTTAAAAATGATCTTTCCTGAGCCTGCTTTTTGTCTGGAATTATCGTTATAGGAGATCGGCTTTTCTCTTTAAATATTAATGGACAAGATTACAACTAACCTGTTCCCAAAACAGGAATGAATCATGATCGGGTAAAGTATGAATTAAATAATGTAACAGACTTCGGACCCAAGGTGTATAACATCAATGTTATGGCTCCTATTAGTCAGAATACCAATAGTTTTAACTTATTTACTGGGCTCAAAGATTACAAAGCTCCTCACACGACAGTTGTATTGCAATTATTAAGATTGCGACTTGGATATTTCTTAAATGTATCTTACATGTTTTGGGCTTCTCACTTAAGAATCTATTATATTTAAAATCTAGAATCTTAAGTTCTTTATAGAAAAAAATCATAAGGAAATGACTCACTTTTGCGGCGTCACGTCTGTGTTAAGAAGGGCGCTCGGAGTTGGATTTATATAAAAATTAGTCTTGCATTGAAGACGCACAGTTTTAGAACTCAGAAAGTTGGGTATGATATTCTTGCAACGTGTTTTCTCTTCTCAAATATTTTTAATTCTCATCTGTAATATGTTTTAGTTCTATATTTTTTCTATCGCCGACTCTTAGATATTTTTATTTTGAAAAATTTATAAACATTCGTTTTTTTTTATTGAACAATTGATTGAACATGATCGACTTTTTGGCAGATAGATATAATTTTATGTTACCGATATGAAAAAATAGTATTGAAGGAAGATACGTTGCTTAATTTTCGATTAGAGATAAGCTGAGACGACAGCAATTGAAATTTTAATATTAAAATTATATCCGTCATATTGTGAAAATTTAATTGTCAAGCCACATATAGAGTGCTTAATCTAGACTTCATTTGCCGTCAGTATTTCCCCTGACGACATACTTATAAAGCTAGGCCGCGGATTGTAATCAAGGACTCCTCATATATCAAGGCTCCCTTATTGCGTCTTATAAGACGCATGACCTGAATTCATATCAACCAGAACTAAATAATACCGCCTTCGGAACTTTTATGTTAGCGTTAGTCACGTATTTTATAAATGCGGGGATCGTTTTATTCTTGTAGCTCTAATGTTTACGTAAGCCAAAACAAATATTGTATTAAAAATATAATATATTTCTTTATTTACAAGGTACAAAAATCTGGAAAGTAGCTGCACGTATAACGGTACAGATAAAATGAAACACATTGTGTGTATACAGGATTATGATTTATGCAGAAAAAATAAAAATGAAGCTGGAATACTTAGATCGTCACTTAAAACAATAATTTTCTTAAAAAGTGTTCTTATTTTTTTACTGGACTTACATTTTACAAATCATAAATCCGAAGTTATGTTGAAAAGCGGGTACCAACATTAATTCATAGGGAGGAATTTAATTTCCGAGAACCTCATTCGTTTGACGTACATTCTTATTCCAGTCATGACTGCATTATATATTTTGCAAACAATAACGAATAGCGAATACATGATTTATTAAAAAAGTCATCAAAAG